TGCCGGACTGCATGACAGTATGGGCATCACTCCTGGTCGCATGGGCCCGAAGTCGAGGCCCTTCCTGGACAGGTGCACTCTGTTCTTTCCCGACCCTGATGCCGCCCATAAGGACAATACTCAGTGGTCTGGGCTGTGGGAGGGAGATGGATACATCGCAGAATTTCACAGGACGATGAAGGCAATGGATGAGGATCAGCAAGAGTTGCTGAAACAAGGATTACGCGAGGTATTTTCGGATCTTCACTGTCTTCCTGCGAGCGGTGCAAGAGTGTGGATGCAAAAGAACAATGCCATTGTGTTCATGACTAATCCCACATTCTACAAGATTGATTGTATTGGAAGGGGAGGCGAGAGTCAGAAGAGGGCCCCAAGAGCACGCCGCACGATGAAGCTGATCAAGGGTAAACGCATATTTGCAGCTGACCTCATGGACTCTCAACCCTTCGACGCTGATGGCAATCTGCGGAGAAAGACAGAGAGACAGAAGCGGCGGGAAATTCAGAAGAAAATGACCATGGCCAAGAAAAACAAGAGAGTCCCCCCTCCACCACGTTCACAGAGACCATTTCCCATGACCCCACTGGAAGATATTGCGGAATGAGCGATGGATGTGGATGTACTGTATTGATAATTTTTGTGAATAGCACCTTGGCCCCACCATTGCACGAACTTGGGAACGCAAAACCGCTGTCCAAGTGCTCATATACCAGATGAACCTGAATGGCAGCTAATGGTTTCATTCTTTGGCGTGACAATCCCAGATAGATTCAGAACTGCTGCCACATGCAATACAACTCAATTGCAAGGCAACCATGGCCCCCTTTGTCGTTGGCTTGCGGGCATGAAGCACAGGATGCAAACCTGTGAATGTTAACCGCTTCCATTAGTCCACCCCCTGCCTATGAAGAGCACGATTTCATAGATCAGGGTGCTGTCAGTGGCGACGATCCAAACTAACCTAACTAACCTAATGCCATCCATTTTTCATCAACACAATTTTATTTCAAACCTTGGGACCCTAGCATGAAGCGCAGGATGCAAACCCATGAATGTTACCTGCTTCCATTAGTCCACCCCCTGCCTACGAAGAGCACGATTTCGTAGATCAGGGTGCCGTCAGGGGCGACGATCCAAACTAACCTAACTAACCTAATGCCATCCATTTTTCATCAACACAATTTTATTTCAAACCTTGGGACCCTAGCATGAAGCGCAGGATGCAAACCCGTGAATGTTACCCGCTTCCGTTAGTCCACCCCCTGCCTATGAAGAGCACGATTTCATAGATCAGGGTACCGTTGGTTGAGCCATCAGAGTCTTCATCGGCATGGTAGACCCCTGTGAGGGACGAGTTACTACTGAGCAAGTGAAAACCGCTGCCAGGTGCCAGAGCGAAACATACATTCCAATAACGTGCATCGCCTGAGTTTCCACAGCTTAGGGTGACCACTATGCATGGGAGGTAATGCTCTTCTACCCTCTGCATCGGATGCACGGCTAATAATTGAAGGTCGGATAGACATGAAGGTTAATGTGGAAACCAGGACGATATACAGAAGGTCGAGCGGCCAAAGAAAATGGGTCTCCCAGTGTTGGAGCGATGATCTGTCTTGTATAAATAAGAATGATCGGATCAGCAGATCAGCAAACAATGGGGTTGCAAGATACAAGCACCAGGATAATGTCATGTCATACCTAGGATCGATTAACAGATTCGTGCGGACCCTAATCATGTCAAGGCCCAAGTTTCATGGAGCTGAACAATGGGATGGAATGGATAAAGAAATTCGGAGGCTATGAAGACAGGGACAGTAAAGTGACGGGAATATGATGTGTGGACTCTAGGATGCTGGGGCAATCTCAGACTTGAGTACAGCACATACATACAGTCTGCTGGAGGAACACAATGTCAGCGACATTCAAGAGGAAATCATGAAGTCCAAGATTCTGGACTGGGATTGTGGGTCCAAACAGGGATCATGTTGAAACAAATAAAGGACGACAGGGCAGGCCAAGAAAGCGAGTTGTGCAGCGTCATGGGTACATTTGCTTGACCCCTATGTTCATGTTCATGACACTTGCAGGTAGCAAGCAGAAGGTAGATTTTGCGACTATTCAGGTGGACACATCCACTGGCAATGTCCAGAATTCCGGTGGAAAATGTATCATATGTGCTACCACAAGTCCAGTACCTGATCATTTGCCAGCCCAAGCGGATGTGGTGCACCACGTCCCCACTAATGAAGCAATCAGCACTGCACACGATATATTTGAAGAGGATGAGATTCACGAGGAGGAAGACAGATTTGATATGCTACAGCGAATCGTGAACTCCGGCATCCTGGATTGGAATCCCCAGGAATCATGGACTGTGAAGCATAGAACGCCTCATAGGCCACATATGGATCGACATATCGAGGAACGGTCGACATCGATAGAAGGCAGCAGAATGGCTGAGCAGGAGGACGATACACAACAGGATAAGCTACGTCGGCCACGCAGACAACTACCAAAGAAAGGAATTTCACGTTGCCAGTCCCAGAATTGTACCTCTATTGTCTTGTAAATTACACTCGACCACGGGCAGCAAACACAATACACGAAATTTCATGAATCACAATAGTGTCAGATGTGTCGTTCACACGACAAGTAACCCATGCCAGCAAGAATCTCCGGATGATGTGGATGGAATATACTGTGGGGTGGTAATAGCACCTCCATCCCTGCCGGTGCGCACAAAGTGAACAACCAACCTACGACAGCTGACAATACCAGCAAAGAAGAAGCCATCCTTAAAAACCAAGTAGTTCACCATACTTGAACAGTCATCAAATGGTTATACTTCAACCTGGCCCTTATAAAGCATACAGAATCTCACTACAGTATATAGGGCAGATCACACAACAGAACATATAGATATGCCAGAATACCATGACAATAGTTCCAGCCTCCTCTCACTTACTATGACCATAGGAACATATCTGTGGCTTCTATGTCTGTAAATTTGCGATGTACTATACCTATACTGGTGATACCAGATGTCTCTATCATAGCGTCCCAGCCAAAGATCAATTTTTCAGCCTCTATACGACTTGCCTGGCTTCAGGTAAGACTCATTCTAGAGGGCATTTGACCATCTGAACACGTTGTTCAAGCCGGACTTCGCTCTAAAAATCATGTTCCAAAGATGTCCACCCATGCCATGCTCCCCCACCCAAAGATCGATCTTTTCAGCCATCATATGGCTTGCTTATCTTTAAGTAGGACTCGTTCTAGATGTTATTGGACCATACAAACACGTTGGTGATGCCAGATTTGCCTCTAAAAATCATGTTCCAAAGTTGACTACCACCCCTGTCATACTCCCCCACCCAAAGATCGATTTTTGCAGCCTTCATATGGCTTGCTTGGCTGTAGCTAGGACTCATTATAGAGGTTATTGGACCATCTGAACACGTTGGTCGAGCCGTATTTCGCTCTAAAAATCATGTTCCAAAGATGTCCACCCATGCCATGCTCCCCCACCCAAAGATCGATTTTTTCAGCCTTCATATGGCTTGCTTGTCTTTATGTAGGACTCATTCTAGAGGTTATTGGACCATACAAAGACGTTGGTCGAGCCGGATTTGGCTCTAAAAACCATGTTCCAAAGTTGGCTGCCCCTGTCATCCACCCCCACCCAAAGATCGATTTTTTCAGCCTTCATATGGCTTGCATATCTTTAGATAGGACTCATTCCAGAGGTTATTGGACCATACAAAGACGTTGGTCGAGCCGGATTTCGCTCTAAAAATCATGTTCCAAAGTTGTCCACCCAGGTCATGCTCCCCCACCCAAAGATCGATTTTTTCAGCTTTCATATGGCTTGCTTGGCTTTAGGTAGGACTCATTCTAGAGGTTATTGGACCATCTGAACACGTTGGTCGAGCCGGATTTGGCTCTAAAAATCATGTTCCAAAGTTGGCTGCCCCTGTCATCCACCCCCCACTCAAAGATCGATTTTTTCAGCCTTCATATGGCTTGCTTGGCTTTATGTAGGACTCGTTCTAGAGGTTATTTGACCATCTGAACACGTTGGTCGAGCCGGATTTCGCTCTAAAAATCATGTTCCAAAGTTGTCCACCCAGGTCATGCTGCCCCACCCAAAGATCGATTTTTCTAGACTTCATATGACTAGCCTGTCCTTCAAAAGCATTTTTCCTGGGGGCTATTGAGCCCTCTGAACACGATGGTAAAGCCAGAATTGCCTGGAAAAATCGTGTTCCTGAGATATACAAGGTCCTCCTCCTCCTCCTGACCTCATGTATGTCACTATCCCGGTATTTCACCTCAATACCGATACTGCAAACATTGATCCTAAGGTATTTGAGGCCTGTGAATCGATTGGGAATGGTCCCAGACCTTCCGGAGGTCAGCATTATCGTGATATGGGAGGTTGGCTCAAATATCGGTATTTTGAACATATCTCCACAATCCAACCGCCGTTTTTCTTAATTGTTGGCTCATATCCATCCTATCGATACCCTCTATGATATGTACCAGCCCGCCAAAAGATATTTTTTCACAAGTTTGAAACCTATTTCTATTTTGACCCTATAAGTTTCGAGGAACTTCCAGAGTCTGAATGTTTGAACACGGTGGCTACCCTATATCAGATACATGTCAGGCTTCAACCTCAGCAACGGTCCAAGGTTCGCATGAGGTTACCCAAGTTTCGAGGAACCTCCACGGGGGTCTGAAGTTTGAACACAGGGGGCTTCGAAGTTCGAACTCACCAACGTTTCAAGATTCGCATGAGCATCCGAGTTTTGAGGGACTTCCAGAGTCTCATAGTCAGTCACCCGAACAACTACTAAGGTGCGACTAAAAACACAGCTGCTCTGAGATGAGTGTGCTCACCGTGTGTGGTTGGTTATTTCTTTTTCCTTTGCTAAATCCAATTAGTGCCTGCTAAGTCCAAATTCGAATATTTATTGATAAGTCATCGGATTTGTCAGAAATCAATCTGCCCTCCCCGTGTCCAAGTACTGTCTCTGTTTAAATCTTCTAAGAGTTCGCATCAAATCATCGAATCATAGTAGTTGGTGAGTGTCGAACTCAGTTGTCGCACTGCTGAATAGTATAATATCTGGTACATTCGTTTTTGTTAGTGGTCAGTTACTTGTTCCAGGCGGTTTGCCTCGTGTATTGTCCCAGCTTATTGCCTCCAGTCCACGCGTCCGAACGTTTGTCAGAAAGCCATAATCCCAGCCCCCATTCCAACTCATTGCTGCAGACCTTCAAACCATGTCCTCTAATAAAGGCGTCCCAGTTCCCTACAATGGCGCTCCTCCCAAGTGAGATCACTATCGTTTTGCGGAGCAGGGACACTAGAGGACTCACGGATGCCACACCAGATACCTCAACGATTTCAGTAAAGCTCTTGCGAGTGAGGTTCGTATCTTGCTTGCAGAGGTAGGGAAGCTCAGAGATGAGCGCAGGCAGCTTCAATTGTACGCCTCCACACTTTATCTGCCAAATGTATACAACTGACTGCCAATACGAATAGCGAAATCGCCGAGCTTATGGCGGTGAAATCCAAACATGGCGCTGGAGGTGAATATTCTCCAGATTGGAGGCCACCAGTGAGTCCTATGAGATCGTGAGGCGTCACTGGTCTTTGATGTGCTTGTAGCCCCAGGACCCGCCGCCGCCTCCTCCTCCTGCAGCCTCCCCCCCTCCAGAAGAAGGCCTAACCGGCCCCGCCCGCCCAGCCTGGCGAGTTGTCCACAAACCACAAAAACGAGAGAAGGCAGCTCCCAAGAGCCTTCCTGCTCCAGTTCCCGTTCCTGCGATTGAACCTCCGAAGCCAAATCTGCCCGCATGGGCTCAATGGAGGCGTATGTGTTATGTCTCTTCTGATTCACACCTCGTGATTGAAATGATCTCCACTTCTTAGCAAATCCTGCTCATGCACCAGCACCGATGCCTGCGCCTATTTCGCCCAGGCCTGTGGTGCCTGCTGCACGTCCCGGTCTTTTCGGTACGTCAACGTGCACACGTAATTATACAGTCAGGCTATATTAACTTTTCCACTTCCAGGTCCGCCAACTCCTCCACCGAAGTAGAACAAACCGAACAATTCTAGAGCCTATTCATCTATATCAACCTGCTTATATCCTTCATCTACTGTCATGTTGTTTCATCATCTTGCATGCTATTGGAAGTCATCGTGTCATCGTTATTCCTGAATTGTAATGGAGTGCAGTGTGCACGCAATTTATTTATATATCTTGTCTACGATATAATTAATGACGTCTGAAGTCTATTCCTGCTGCGTGATATATATTCCACTTGTAACTTTTTGAAAATGAGGCATGGATATACGATGAAGTAAAGTGAGGAGCATTTAGTTGACAGCACACTTTACGAAAAGAGTGGAGAAGAGATACTGGGAGAGTTGCGTGTCGTGCAGGGGGAGATGCCGGTAGCCTGCAGATGATGTCAATACAAAGTCACGCCACAAACCTGAAAGTGCTGACCCATCGCCAAACTTCCAAGGCTGACACAATAGACAGCGATCGGCTCTTCATCATTTTCGCCATCCCTGCGCACCGCGAAGCGTACAAAGATCAAGTCAAACATGTCCCCAACACAGTCGAACGGAAGGCTTAGTGCCTCCTGCCATACAGGGTTGAAGCCATTGTTCTTGACTGCATTGGTGCGTCTGGACAGTAGTCTCCCGGTAGAGCCAGATGAGGAGGGTGAAGGTGTTGCAGAAGAAGAGGATGACTGGGAATACGGGGTGTGAGCCCATTCCGGAACATGGATAGAGACTTCGATGTATGGGTCCACCATGGACTTATCCATGATTTCGTGCCCGAGAGAGTCTTTCGGACGAGGAAGCTGTTGTGCGGAGATGACCTGTCGAAGCATAAGCATTGCTCGCCTCAAGTACAATGAGGAATAACTTGCCGTTATGTCAAGCGAGTGTTGGGTATGACGCAATAGCATTTCCTTGTCAGGTGTACGGAGGGCCAGAGGCTTCAAGACGTAGCCCGCTCGTCCGTTGCGCTGGAACATGGCATGGTTGATCATGTAACCCAGATCTAAAGGCCGATCAGTATCGATCGACAATAGTCAATCTTGAAATTGTACCGAACGTCTGCCAGTTGATAGCCACGAGCTGCGCGCCCGCCGCCCAATAGCGATGAGGCAAGTAGTTAGACGAATTAACCCTCAAACCTTTTGGATATATTCGAATCAGATGTGTCCGATTGTGTTTGATAAGATCCATAATCCCTTGCTTGATCACCTTGTTAGCTGTCTTCTCTGAGAGAGAGAACATGTGTTCCGGGGCGTAGTGCTCTTTTTTGTTGATACCTCTGCACTTCACACCAACAGTGTACACGAGGAGGCCCACGACAGCGGCCGACATCTTAACTTTGCTGACGTCACGGGATTTCGGTCGAGCAGAGGGCTCAGACATCGCTATGGAGGTCGTCGCAGCCGACCCAGCAAGAGCAGCTATGCCAGGCATATTGTGGGAATGACCACGAACACGATCGAAGAGACTGCGAGCCTTCTTCAACTCGTCCTTAACCTCTACGGCATCTATGAGCTTGAGAAAAAACGGACTTGTCGCGCGTATCTCACCGTTGATAGCGTCCATTTCAAAGATCCTGGACTTCGTACGTTCGTCCCTGGCGTCTTGAACGACATCAGAGTCTGTGGACGTTTCCGTAGAAGAGGATTCCGTGTCGACGCTAACTTCTTTCGTACGGATGGATTCGTTCTCTGAGACATAGAGATTCTTTGCCTAAAGATGACAAGTAAGCTAACTAGAGATTACGACCCATACAAGAAATAACATCTACCTTCAACAATACCTTTCCCTTCAAGTGCTCTGGACTTGGGAGAACTTCGAACTTTGGGCATCCTTCCACAGGTGCACTGACAAGCGCGTCTTCGAAGACATCGCGCATGATCTCCACCATCATCTCCTGCTGCGGTACCGAACAATGGATTTCGGCAGATATGATGACAGGGTATGGAGATGTAACGAAAGCGTACTTCGCAATGGCTTCGCACACTTCTCTCACTGGAACCTTGGAAGTGAAGGTCTTTCCGTGAAATATCATCGGCTCAGTGTCACCATCATAGATGTCGACTGAATGGGAGCATGTTATGAGTCAAAAAAAATCCAGCAAATTGACACACACCTTCTACACTACGACAACTGTGAAGAAGAGCCCGGATGTAGCCCTCGATTGTACTAGAACCAACGAGTTGATGGCCGATAAGATATGTATTGTGCGAGGAAGATATAAAGTACTCCGAAAGTGGACGCGTCATATCATGCCATACTTTGCCTTGCTGGTCAGTGAAGGCTGAATTGTTAGAAGACGAAAGGAATGAGGTGAATCCATCAATCGACATAAGCAATGTGGAGGACTGAGAAGACATGGAAAGTTTGTGAGTTATATGTGCCACTGGTGTGTCAATGGGGGGTGGTGAGACGGCGACGGACTGTGAGAGTACAGTGTCAGACGGGGGAGAAGTTGACAGGGGGGGAGAAAGTAATCTTTCCATGGGCGGGGATGCGGATCCTTTCGACGATGATGGAGAGAATCGTGTGCTGACGTCGGATGGCAGAATCTCACCATCCGGTTTCTTGGCGTAATGCGTGAACAGGTCCAAGAGCTCAGGGCGGGACAATGCAGACTGAATTAATCAGTTTCGTAAAGCCGAATTAAACGAAGAACACACCTTTTGAGTATCATGCATGAAATGCTCAAAGACGCTAAAATCAAATAGCCCGTCGTTGCAGAAGCACAGTTTCTTATACAAGAGGTTGATTTCTGGGCGCGCCTTGAGCAGCTTGACAAAGCACCGAAAGTCGGAGAAGTTAAGGAAACCTTGACGCTTCGTGTCCGCTTGCTACACTGTTATGAGCTTTTTTGTCTCGGGAAAAATAGTTGTTCGCCACCTTGAACAGCCGCTTCAGCTCCTCTGTCGAGGTGTTAATATTTAGGCGTCTGCAGAGTTTCTCCACTTCATCAAAGTGCAACTTCTGGTCTCCTGACTCGTCCGCTGCCGTCCAGTACTGTTTCTCCCACATCGCATGCCTGATCTCTTCATGCCCAAGACCCGTCATGAGTTCTTGGCGTATTGCGTAAAGCTTCCTCAGTGTTATGTCCCACATTCGGAATACGTCCTTAGTTGAAGAAATCAAATGAAGAGTTTTATAGGCGCCACTGAGAATGTAGATGATGGTGATCCATCTATCTTCATAATCCTGCGCAAGTTGAAATTGTTGGCGATAGTAGCGGGCTTCAGACGAGAAGCGGAGCTCCTTGATATTCTCGATTGGAACTGCAATGGCACAGTCTGTTAGCAGCGCCAGAAGAGAATCGCGGGTCAATTTGAGGTACGTACTGATCCGCAGTTTCTTGGATTGCCATATGATCTGACCTTGGTCGGGATCGAGTTTAAATATATAGTTTTTCTGCTTTCCAGGAGAGACTTTAGTCATCTGTACTCCTTCTCTTAGCAGTAAAGGGACAGTCCCGTCGGCCACGGACAACTTTTCAGTGGTGCGTTGCATAGGTACGACCGTAGAACTCGATGTGCCTGGTAGATTTGGCACGACAAGCGTAGTCGGTTGCTGTTCTGAGTCTTCTGACGTAGAAGAGACTGTGCTAGGCGTACTCCACATGCTAGTTGAGGTGGGAAGAGGGGTACATGATAAATCAGAGTCAGAATGACCATCCTTCCTATTACGGCGCGGAGCATCTCGACTCCTCGATCGAAGGGATATAGACTTCACAATTGGAGTTCTCGCCTTCAAAAAACCTCTCTTGATAGAATCTCCGAACGTGTTCCCATCATGCAGATTCTTCGTGTGTAAGATTGTATCCGTGTCTGGAGACACGTCTTGCGCCACAACTTGAAGTGCCTCCTGCGTAGCCAGCGTGGGTATGCCAGTACTTGTCAACAAGCCTTTGGCACGTTGCAGAATATGTCTTGGAGCTATCTGCCTCTCTATAGCGGGTCTGGGTCTATTGTGGTCACCCATCGTTCTAATATTAGGGGGAGACGTTTCGAGGAAGCCACAGTCGTTGTGCATGCGCAGTATTTCTAGTAGAGCTATGAGCGTTGGCGCTCAGAGATGGCGTACTGCCTTCTGCGATTATATGGGTTTAGAGCACTGCAAAGGAATGGAAGCCCAATCCCGGATAACATTTTACGGAAGGGGATGGGCGCTCGTGTACATGTGGCACGTTTGCAACGCTGGCAGCACGAGTGAGGGTACAAAGTAATCGATATGGTTATTCTAGTCTATATGGTTAGTGCAGGGCCTAGGCCCCCTCGGGTTGAACTATGTCTATCGGATCCGGAGGAGGTAAATATAAGTAGAGGTGGATTGTGAGAGGAGTGTGGGGTATCGTGAGGCGATGATCGATGAAAAAGTAAAAGTAAAAGAGACGGAATAATATCTAGGGCTACATGTGTATGATTCGTGTTAGATGTGTATGCGAAGAAGGCGAATGTGGCGATGTCCAATGAGTCAAGTCCACGACTTCGCTTAACGAAAATCGACAATGACCTCGGCCAGCCATACGTCATCACAGGCGTTCCAAAGTGCCGAAAGAATGAGGCGATTAAAGCTAATTCCGCCATTTCCGAAGCGCCAACTGGCGCCATGCTGAGCAGGGGGGTGACCCTGCAGCTCCTGTGGGAGACCGTAAGTGGAAACACGACTGGGACTGGAGAAGGGACAAACCTCTATGAAGCGCGCGAATGCGCGTGCAACTTGGACGGCAAGTTGCCCTCGAGTGAGCGGACCAGCTGGAGTATATATATCAAGGGGGTAACTCCGATCAAGATGCTCATACCCCGGCCACTAAAGTGAGGACGGACATCAGATAACATGAATTCATTCATGATATAAGTTACATTACCAGGATCTTGAGATTGACTCTGCGAAAACCAAGAGATCCGCTCATTTGAGCACCAACACCATCGCTCACACCAACGAGCATACGCTCCAATGCACCTTCTGAACGAGTCAGAAGCTCACCCATCGGCACGCCAAGACCCCGTGAAGGCGCCCCATGAAGATCAAATGTAACGGCAGGACAAGGAGGAGAGCGACGCGATGTTGACATCTTCGACAATGGCGCCTGAGGCAGGCGACGGTGGGACGGCGGTAAAGCCTGAGCGAAGGGAGGCTGGTTTGTGGAGCAGGCACCAGCAAGGGCAGTGTATGATGAGCGGACGTTGCTGGGGACGGGAGGATGAAGAGGGTTTATGTAAGACATCGTAGATGGTTATGTGTGCAGGGAAGAGAGATTATCGGGATGAGCACTTGGTGACGACAGAACATGCAAAACTAACCTTCAATTTATACCAACGCATCTCAAAGAGCGGAACAAACACATGCGGGTGGCTCGAGCCAAGCAGTGAAACCATCAAAGGTACATAGTCAAAGCGACCGCTGCAGATTGTGTAAACCAAAATAGAAAAAATATCTTTGTGGAAGGCACCTTACGAATAGTCTTTTGTGCGTCATCTGTGCTCTTGAACTCTTTGACTTACTTACCTCCGTTGAGCTGTGGTGTAACGCTTTGATGCGAGCTCTTTCATAAATATCTGCTTTGAAGACAGCGATTCCTATTGCTTTTGAGCATAGTACGTGCGTGAGAAGGACGAGATGAACTCGAGGCAGCCTCGCAGAGCCTCGTGGGTCGGAAGAAGAGTCGGAGGTCGATCATTGACAATGTCATTGGATCATGTTGACCTCAAAGACAACTTCTGTGAATTCCCACAGTAGTACTTCCAACCCTCGATAAGATCACACCACAGCATCAAATCGCTCACAATAAATTTCCACAAGTGTGATGGAATAAGATGACAAACGAGTTATACAATCTAGAGGATATGGAATGGATCATCATCGGAATATCAATCGCTAAGAAATAGTACAACCACACGGACTTCAGCCGATACAATATTAATCACTCTGCAGCTTTCTTCTTCTTCTCTTCGACGATCACAACATTCTCCGCAGGCACACCCTTTAATGGACCAGCTCCACCTTCAATAAGCTCCATAACGTCGTCCGATACATCTCCCTGCACCACGATCTCATCCTGTCCCTGGGCGTTCTTGGTGACGGATGCCCCAGTGGCGAACTTCTGAGCAAGGAACTTAGCAGCTTTCTTCAAGTCAATGTCTACATGCAATTTATATCATTTAATACGTTACCGCAAAAGTAGTAAACATACCAAATGCCTCAAGGCCATGGATAGCTGTAACATGTTTCCGCTTGTTGCGCTCAATACGTTTAATCGACACTTGCGATGCCTGGGCGATTTTGAGCAACGAATGTGCGATCCAGATAACTTATGAATATACCATCTTTTTCTTAAGCGCAGCATCCGCCTTCGCCTCAGCCTTTGCCTCCTTTTTCGCTGTATCCTTCTCGAGTTTCGCCTGTGCTGCCAGGCTGAGGGTGCCAATCTTTGACTGGAGAGCCTCTTGAAGATCGACGTTGTTAGCATATAACTGTTGCGGTAATACATAGATGCGATGCTTACCATCTGAGTAGTACTTCTCAAAAAGCTGAGAGTGTGCTCCCTGGAGCCATTCCTTGCATCTCGTCAAGCTGGAGCCAAATTCACAGTATTCGGGAGGGAATGTGCAGACTAAAGAAACGATGTCCATCAACAGCATAGGTGGTAATAAAAATTGTGCTCACTTTGGCAGTAAAGGACTTGTAACGCACGAACGGGCTGGGGCTCTTGTTGGTCTGAGGAAGACATGCTATCAGTAGACACGTGACTTATAGGGATCGCTGCTGATTTAGATCTAGTACTGTAGTCTCCCCTAGGGCCTAGACCACTATGTAGACGCTTATAGACGGCCACGATAGTCGTTCCTAGGCCTTTGGTACTATGTTGATTAGTTGGGTCATAAAATACATTGGAGTAGGGAAACTCGGAATATGTTCGTTCAGCCTTCAAAAAAATTTGACTTCTTCCGACAGTAAATATAATCTACGCCAGCTAACGCCGTTCCTAATGAAAGTACATTATCAAAGTGTTATGTGAGTGGTCAAGGTCTAGCAGGTACGGTTATCGAATGAGGGTTGGTGATTGACGAATTGTGCAGCGGTACCATCACTATGGCACGTCTGGATCATGGTGACTTCCCCGACTCCCACTAAAGTGGGAGAGGGTAGGAGATAGGAGAGGGTTTTGTCAGACGCAAACGTCCATGCACCCGTACGCTGAACCGCGGGAAATTATTTGACAGGAACTGTACAGTTTTATGGACAAGCTCCTGTCGCTGATACATTCGTTCCTTGTACATGTCTCGTGTTTTCTTTCCCTCTGAACTTCACTCATGAGTCATGCACAGTGCACAGGTATTTCCAGTGCACAAAAGTTAAATTCGTGCTTCGTTGGATGAAAGACGAGAAAGTCTCTATGATTTACCTTTAACTTTGTCACAGGGGGCATGTCGGAAGCTGGCTGAGGAACGAGGCCGAGACGATATGCTGCCTGTGCACCGATGATGACATACTTATGACCGTAAATACACTCAGTACATACATCCGAATTATACAAACTGGTAGTAAGATGCCAGATCACAGCATCTTTAGTCCAACATGTATAGGACTGTTCATTCCAAACAGGAGTCGGAACTGGTGCAGCCGAGCGCCGTTACGATTAGGTAGCTGATGACCGGGACGCGCTCACCCGTGACCACAGGTGCAAGTATATAAGGAGAAGAGCATCCACTTTCAAGCACAAGGATGACAGTCAGAGCTTCGCGGAGCATCGCAGACGAGCTGCAACTTGTAAGGGAAGAGGTTTGTTCGGATTCTTGGATGGTTTGGTGGGAGATTGTTTAAGACTGTTGATTGACGATGCCAACTTACAAAGATACATTGTAAATATGGTCGTATAATATTTTATCCGAGTGTTCTAGACCTATCGCCGTCCTTTAGACGACCAAGGAGGGTTGTTAGTCTCAATACCGCCGACACCGCCTTCGTAAACGTTTCCAACGGTGAGCCGTAAAGTTGGAGTGATAACCGTCGGTTCCATAGCCCACAGTGCGACCGCAACAGTACTACATAGAAGTCAGCCATTATCGTAAGGTGATAACAAGGGGCGTACTTTGTGCCACTGTAGTTCAGAATACCTTGGTGGACAGGGAACTGATATTGGGGTCTGTACCTTGCCATCAGCTCGTTTCAATACGACACATCGAACCAAGCGTACCCGAGGTTAGATACCCTCTTTCCCATCATCCATCCGTTGACGTATAACTGAGCTCGGTACGGCTGAGAGGTGTTATCAAATGTGAAGGACATTGGAACATCAAATCCCTCTGGGATGTTTAAGTTGAACGTCGTAACGAAGAACCCAACACCAGCGGTGGCGTCTGGCAGACCCTCAGAGAGGCTTCTCAGTGCCCAAGAAGAGGTATCAAATCCAGGCAAGTGCCAGCCCATACGTTCACCGTAGAGCCCTCCTTCGTTTAGTACCCCGCGCACTCTGTCGAGATAGCTGTGTCGACATGAGTCAACGAGGTGGTCATGCCGGAAGAGAGAAAACGCACTTGGTGTATCCGCCAACTTTACCCTGAACCCTCCATTCACCGAAGTCTCCACTGTTGAGCATGAAACCGCGGACGCCGCGAGGGGACTTCTCTTTATCAATAACAACTAAAATGGCCATCAACATCAGGATCGCTTCGGTCTGAGTTCAACATGTGACTTACAGCCCGATTGATCGAGGCCCATATTATCCTAGATCTGTAATTTGTATCGATAATGTTCTAGAACATGAGAACCCACCTGAAGGATAGTAATGACATTATCTTTTCCGTAACGCAAGGATCCTGGAGGGAAGTGGAATTTATCATCCGTTTCTTCTAGGATATTTCGGTTGTTTGTGGAGCTACGTAACTGGCTTCAATAACACCCTCAAATCGTGTCGATGATCATTTACTTTCCGTAGGACGTGCTCAGGAACACATCGTTCACCCAAACTGTCGCAGCGAAAGCTAATTGACACAATCAGATTCAGATATTAGATATAATTAAGTTGGACCCACCTTGGCCGCCGTTGATGGAGAGGTTAACAGATTGTGTGTTTTCCGTCGCATTGAAGTGCCCACGCCAAAGTACGGCGCTCTCGCAGCTGTTAGTCAATGAGCTATAATAAGGACACAGATCAGCTGATGACTGACTATTCGTAGTCACAGCCATAGAGAACCCTCCCATCGCCGTAGTAAGGCTTGAAGGGTATGTTTGTGGCGGTATGGTCAGCAAGAGTCCAGTTGGCGTCAGAGAATCCACTTCGGATTTCCGGCAAACTGTTCGCATATCTCCAGTTTTTAAGCGCTGGTGGAGCAAAGGCAAGCACCGCAGACGAGGGCTGTAGTTGTGCGGAAAAGCCCCCTTGGGAGGTCAAAGTTGAGGCGGCAGCGGCAGCGGCATCAGCTGAGATAGGAATTCCGTTCCATGTAACCGTCTCCACATCATCAGGTGCAATAACCGAAAGTCGAACACTTTCATTCAAGTCACCACGAAGGGCGAGCGTTGATCCTGTGATTGTAGCGTTGCGAACTAAATAAGGGCCTCCAACCAGGATGGAGGTATTCGTGCCAAACTGCCAATAGTTGGCGAACTCGACGGGACCACTGGCAGAGATTTCGGGCGACCAAAATGTTCCAGCGGTGTCGGCGTCACTATAGAGGACAAGCTGCTCGCTGGAATCCCAAACCGTAATCAGTCCTTGGATGCCCGGAAGGAAATTGATGGTGGTGACACCATTAGAGGATGTTGTAGAGATTCCTGCTCCTCCTTGGATACGAGGTGTACCACGAAGTGTTAGAGCAGCCTCCGACTCAGATGTCGAGTCGCCGTAGAGGAACAGTATATCTCTCCCACCAATCTGGCCTGCATACAGAACCTGCGCTGTAGAATACAGGACCTTCGATGACGAGCCAAATGAGTAATCAGCGACAACAATTTTTGATTGTCTGCCCGCGAGGGTGATGCCAGATGCAACACGAGGAACCTCAAATTTACCAGCAGAAGTAGTGACATTCAGCTTGAAGGTAGTTGTAATCCTAACGGAAACGTGAACACACGATTAAACGAAACGGCACAATGTGAGCTCACGTCGTCGTGGAGATCTTCTGTCTTGCAATGTAGAACGACGCCGCTGAGTCGGGGTTCCTTAACAGAGTCACAAAGGCGGCCGGATTAGAGACGGAAACGATGCCGCCAGTACTATTGCCAACCACGTCTGTCTTGTAAAAATCTGGCGAGCTTCGCAGGAAGAGACCCTGACGCTTAAGCTCCGCATACTTGACGGTGAGCTCTCTATTCTCTGCAATGGCGCTCCCGTAATCATACGAAGCTGGGAGTCAATTAGCTAGCAATCTCCCTATGTTAGAGATATAATCTCACTGTAGACTCCGGGGAATGGAAGTGCACCCCAGGAAGTTCCTCTGTAGACATGTCAAGCTTCCCACCATAGATAAGAATAAGGAGCTTACCCGTATAGCATGTAGTAATTGATGAGTTTTGCATTAGACGCCCATAGATGAAGGTTGAAAACATTCTCAAAATTGGCTCCCGTGAGTATGCGGCATTGATCGTAACCTGGCAGGAAGGTCATGTGAATGCATAACGAAGGCATATACTAATTGTTTTACCTGGTGCCGTTGGACCCCAGGCGTCAAAAGAACCACCCTGGAACTCTGGGAAATACCAAGGTTGGCCAGGATCGACAGCTGAATGCTGACTTAGCATCAGAAGGAAGAGATATCGGAAAATATCACATACACTCATGGTAGCTATGATAGTTCGTGACGACCGGCATCCAGACATCTGGGTTGGAGCAGTCGAAAAATTGTGGGTAAGAATCCGTACTTGAGGATAAAAATCGTATCAACACAAGCCCAAATGTTATCAGGGGATGGACTTGCCCATAGATATCTACAGCACCCTACACCTGGAGCTCAAAATGGCGGTCATCGGGAAACTATTTCAGCTTACCGTTCCATTGATCCAGTCCCGATCTTCTCCCGGGTCGTTAGCGGTCAACGGGACAACAATATTGGAGTTCCAATAGACAGCTTCCAGCTCGGCAAAATATTCTGCATGCCCGGCCGGTTCCTGAGAGTATTCGTTATCTTTACATTACAATTGAGTTCAATTCGCTCCTATGGAAATGCCACTTTGAAAGTCACTGACCAATTTGAATTGCTAAAAATGAGGGAGATAAGTTGATGTGAAACACTCTGTCAAGACCGACTTGCCTATTACCGGCCCACCTTGGGTTACTTGGTAAGGAACAGTTTCAGTAATGATACCTTGCACGTAGTCTTGCCAAGCTGCCTTCCAGTCTGTCGCGTTTGTCCGCAGTTCGCCTGCCACTTCTGATGTAATCCAGTGTGCAATGCCTCCTGCAGTCGTCTCCGCATTGATATAAGGCCCTGATCCTCATTAGTACTAAACCCCCCAAACTCCGAGGACCCATACCCGGACGGAGAACAATCCATATGCCAGTCTGTTTCGCAGCCTCGTAAAGTGGCTCCAAAGCGCGGTAATCATTGAAGTCGATAACTCCAGGGGAGGGATTAATCAGAACCATGTGGGTATAAACACTGATCGCGTTGAATCCAGCAGCCTTCACTTTCTGCAGAATATCAAGCCATAGTGCAGGTACTGGCAGGCGAAATGTGTGGAACTCTCCCGAACTGAGTGACGGTACAACGTAAATGTGTCGAATGCGCTTTGAGTGTCCATCGAGCACTCACTGGATAAAAACACGCTGCCCTTTGATAACTAGACTATACTTATCCCACAGGACATCATCCGTACGTCCGTTTCCATTTAAGCCCATGCTCGCCGGCATATCCACTGGTTCTGCCCTCGACACATCAAGATGAGACGCTGGGGACCAGATGTTTGAGCGCCTAACTGGTGACAGCAGAACACACAGAACGGAGAGAATTAAAAAAAGGATCCATGACAGTCCACGACGTTTCCTGGATGCAGACGACGCAGGACCACCGAGGGCCAAAATGTCTGATTGCAGCATCTTGGTGTCTACTGCCTCAAGTATTGCCCTCTCCTTCCCAGGCGTATTTATACCGCGCTCCGAATCTTGAAGTAGGCTCGTGTTGCTGGCATCCCTTGATGCCTTGAGTCGCATGACTGCAACAATGCTTCCGTGGTCCGCCGTGCTACGTGTTACGGGAAAATGCTACAGCCTAGATGAACTGAATTCCGAAGCGGGGGAGTTTGTGAGTTCGTACAGTAGACTCAAACCATGCCTACCTAGACTTGATAAACTAGCGTTGGTGAATCGATGACGAGTCACTAGTCAACGGCCGTTCTTGTGTCCCACAAGTTACAACGAGCCCGGAGTCGACGAACTGAGTGGAAGAAACAGCAGTGCATGTACGTCATCAACACATTGTCACGGTCACGGTCACGGATGTCATACAACACTTGCCGAACCGGGATCCATGATCGATCTGATCAACATATTTTGACTGAGTATTAATAGCACTCTCCCTTTCGATAGCTCCTCGAGTCTCGACATCGACGTCCTCGACTTCAAAGTCACCGGTGCACAATAATCCCGTTTGTTTCAACATTTTAACGCTAGAACCGCCAGTCCGGTATGCCATGTCCTTGGGTCTCACTTGAACAACCGTCATCCCTTCGCTACAGCTACTGCCCACGTGTAAGTTCTTCACTGTTTTCTTTGTCTTCTTGTTTTATAAATGGAACGATACTCATTTTTTTTTGCTAGCCTCGCATCCTCTCCTGCCTTCCTCCACCCTCTCACACCCTCTCGCATTCTCTCGCACACTTCCTCCCCCGACTATAACCAACACCCACCCACCACATTCGACCAGCATTGACAGATGCGTTTCGCCGAGCCGCGCCACCTGTTATCATCGCCATCGCCAAACCCCCAGCTCCATTGTCAATAATATCGTCTCTTCTCGTTACAGGCCAGTTCATGCTCTCTCTGTTGTCACCTCTCTCGAATCACCACCTCCTTTAACCATCTCACTAGTCTGCTCACTGAACTTATATCGGCGAAATACAGTAATAGGCGTTCTCGGAGGCGTTGGGCTGCCTCAACCGTCCTTCACGCATGCCGGAACAAATATCGGACGCTGATGGAGCCCGATAGAGGCTGTCTATATACGTGACTGGAAATTCACATCTTATAGTTGCCACTTTTCGATTCAGGATCGCTACTACTAATCAAATTATCAAACTTATTGAGTTGTCTAGAGCCTAGAGTTTTGTTCAGTACACCCAATCCAGAGTACGGTAAATATATGTATGCTCAGTGTACTAAAGTCATGATCGTATGATGAAAATACGATATGAGTAGTGAGCACCTTCCACCATTTACGATCCCCTCTTCGAACCTCGGAGTTTCTAGTCTCTTCAATGATACTAGGTGTCGGTCTATTCTCCGTCGCTTCGCAGGACTGCGCGAATAATAGACCTTGTTGACTCAACGCTGGATACCTGGGACTTGAATTCCTTATGGCAAACCATCAACCAGAGATGGTGCGACGCATACCTCTGTGCTGATCAAGCGATTAAAGCGGTCAATCTCACCAATACATGATGCGCATGATTGACGAGGATGCGAAGGATTGTCACCTCGATTGGTGTCCACTAGTGAGTCGTATACGACTTGAACATCGATACTTACTCTGGGATCATTTAGCTTTTAAGAAAAAATGTACTGCACGCTGTCTCGCGAAAGGAGACGAGGCTGTTACTGCGAGCAATTATGAGGTGGCTATTGAACTATATTCGGCAGGAATCGAGCTTGACTCCGCATGCGTGTCCCTCTTTGTACACCGCAGTAATGCAAATTTCGAACGAAACTACTATGTGGAGGCCCTTCACGACGCGGGAAAGGCGCGCACGACATTCATCATTTTTAAGCAGTTGTGCTCATACTACCAATGCATAGATCATCAAATAATCCTTCTTCTTATCTGGGGTACGAACTGAAGCATGCAGCCCTTTATGGCGCACATCGCTATGATGAAGCAATCGAAGCGTTCAAAACCATGTTCTCAAAGTTGGACGATGCGCCAGATACGCATATACCAAGTAAGCCCAAACCCGCCATGCGTCAACGTAATCATCATGAACACTTTCTCCAGACCTTCGTCAGACTATTCGATGAGCCATTGACGCTAAACTGGAAAACGCTCCGCTTCGCCTAATCAACACATCCACTGGGCGTTTATGTAATCAAGAGGCACAGATAAATTCCTTTAAGGTGCACGGAGTACAAGGAGATTTTGTATTCATCGATGACGCGTGCACCCCTCCAAACGGAACCCACCACGGAAGCGGTCGGGAAGTACTTCAATTGGGTCACGTTATCACACAGGTGGGAAAGCAAGGAGCTGCTGCTGCGCGACCCCCAGGACAAGCGTGTACACAATTTGACTCCAGTCGGAACTGTGGTGAAGTTGCAGACGTTCTGCGAAATCGCTTGTGGTGCAGGGTATCACTGGGCGTGCAGCGATACGTGCTGCATCGACCAGACCAATGATATTGAGCTCCAACGATCGGTCAATTCCATGTTTGTCTGGTATCGCCACCCAGCTCTTATAATCGTCTACCTCTCGGATGTTCAGCCTTCAGCGCAATCAGGCGCGTTCGCAAATAGCGCTTGGAATACACGAGGATGGACTGTTCAGGAATTCCTGACTCCTAATGTCATTTGCTTCTACCGAAAAGACTAGACCTTATATCTCAACGACCCCTCTCCCAACCACAAGATGTCTTATGCCATCATGACAGAGTTGAAGAATTCAACAGGCATAGATGCGTAGGCCATCGTTGCCTTCCGACCGGGCATGACTGGTGCGCGAGAGAAACTGCAATGGGCGTCGACGCGTGTCACGACCCTGCAGGAAGACGTCGCGTACTCGTTTTTTGGCATTTTCAGCGTTTATCTCCCCGTCATCTATGGCGAGCCAAAGCAAAATGCGCTCGGTCGGCTCTTGCAGGAGATTGTTGCTCAGTCAGGCGATACTATAGCCCTGGACTGGGTCGGAAAATCATCCGAGTTCAACAGCTGTCTGCCAGCTGATATTGCCTCGTACAAATCTCCACCGTGCACGTCGCTATCACTATCTGAAGATCACATACAGAGATTGGTCTCGTCACTGCGAAATGCCGCTGTTATGGAGCTGGCTTTGATGCTGTATACCCGGCTTGACCACCTGAGCGCTCCTCGTTTCGACCACCGCGGACTGCACCTGCCTTGCATCGCATTTCCCGTCACAGAAATAAGACGCAAGCGTGGTCAAGACTGGGGGCTATGCTTTACATATGATGTCAAGGCAGATGGTCTTCAAGACCTACTCATCACTACCGAACACACGCTGAATCAATTCTCGCCGGCAATGCCCATTCGACAGACATTCTTGCTCATCCGTCCATGGAATCGCTATGATCCGAGCTACCTGACTTTGTAGACGGTGCGCAGAGCATGGTCGAGTCTGTGCCTGAGTCTCCATTAGACGATTCTCTCGGCGGGTTTCCTGAGGATGATGAACCTGTTGAGACAGAGCCTCACTCACGAGAATTAATTAAGGCTGATCGCTCGCCTAGGACAGCCTTTCGGCGCGCTTCTGCTAGCGCAGCAACGGGGTGGGGAGTACAAGAGAATTGCTTCAGATAACAATATCATCGCGCAAGTCAAGGACATGACTTTTGTTCATGACATGATGGGCGTCAGAACGCTAGAAATATTGTAGCTGTATCATTTTGACGAACGGAGATCTCTTCATTACCTCTTCACAGTACCTACGTGGAACGATCTCCATAGGCAAATGTATTGTATCGTATGCTGACTTACGGCAGGAAATCAAACAAGTGATTATTATCGCCCAGTCATTTGCAACAGGTGACCCCTCCAGCTCTGGAATTAGTCCTGCAGGCACATTCGCGGCCTTACATTTTCCACCACACAGGTGATACGCATAACCCGAGTTCATTTCGCCACTTTCTCTGATCCACATCGGAGACGATCTCCATTAATAAGCTACGAATGCATAATGACCTCGTTCATACGATATTGGTACGGGAGATTGACTAATGCTTGTGCTCGAGTGTTAGGTTTTTCGGACGCTACTGATCAACTCGACCGGGCACGCGTGAACGATATTCACCTACACGCCAGTCCTTCGACCCTCAATCTGGAGGGAGCTCAAGACGGAACTGTGTAGCTGCAATCTGTAGCAAATACCCACCCCTGGTTATTAGATTTGACCATGGAGATAACGACACCTTCCTTACCACGTCCTTGACTTATATCAGCTGTGAGGATCGCTATCTCCTTTCGTTCTCGAATAAGATGCGACAGAAACTGTATCTGCTGGTGAAAAAAGAACATGATTCCAATCTGGTTCTCTGGACACCTGATCCTAAGAACACAAAACGAGCTTGGTCGCGACATCCCAACCATTACGCAGCTACTTAATTAGCCTGTGGCGTGGTATACTTTGCAGCTGGTCAGTCAACTTGCCGCGCAACAAGCATCGAGCCCGCATGCACATCCACCATTGCCCACCATGCAGGTGACCAGAGTGCATTTTGCCACTTCCTCTGATCCACATCGAAGAGGATCTCCGTTGGTGGGCTTGTTCGACGAATGCATGATGTCATTGTTCATGCGATACTGGTGCGCGAGATCGACCACTGCTGTAAATAGAGACGAGTCAGAATTTTCCAGGTCACCTATCCACGCGGCAGGATTGCGAACCTGGATCAAGGGCCAGGCTAAAACAACTCACCAGCAGGGGGGAAGTTGGGAACAAACTTTACAAAACCAAAACCAAATTCTCGGGAAAATGAAGGGGACCTATACATGTGGGCACTGGGCAGGGTAAATGGTGCTCCTGAAAAAAGACGCGAAGTACAGCAATTACAATTATCTTACCTGTGCCAGGCATGCAGGGAGGGCGCGCAATCAAATGCACTCAAGGTACGCGGCGCGCGCATCGTTGCAGCGAGTTAACTATAGCTTGTAGGGGGCCCAGGTTTGTTAGGATAGCCTCCGCGACATCTTGCAGTCTACAAAATGCAACGTGAGATGAGTCTGGGCGGTCGTGTTTTTTCTTGAATGACGGGCGTCGGGACTCGGTCCAGACTCTGCATTCCCCCGGTTTTTGATCCGGCGCTAGCGTTTTATTATATAATTACAATCGTAATCAAATCTAGATCATAAATCTTCGAACTCCGAACATAATCTTTGCGAGAAATCGATTTTGCATCGTGCACATATCATTCACGATGCCTCCTTCAGCGTCAAAGCAGAAGCGGCTTGCAGAAAAGGCTGCGAAACAATCCGCAAGGCAAAACGGCACTACTTCGACGTCCACTCCAAATGACTCTGCACCAGGTAGCATGTCCCATACTCCACTCACCAGCATATCTGCCGCCACCAGTACGGATGACCTTACATCTATGGCCAAGCTTCAGATCGCCACCGATCGGTGTGTACAATGCTTATTCCGATGGAAGATACTGATCTGGCTCTAGGAGTGCAGCGGGCGTGCTGGTATCAGACGTGAAAGGCAGAGATATTAAAATCGATTCTTTTACGTTATCATTCCATGGTCGCCTGCTCATCGAGGGTGCAGAGATTTCCCTTAACTATGGACAGCGCTATGGACTATTGGGTGAGAATGGGTCTGGAAAGGTATATCGTCATATCCTTTACCTCCACATCCTACCATCTCACATATTCGTCCTAGTCTACCTTCCTCCAATCTATCGCAGAGCGCGACATTGAGATTCCACCACATATTGACATCTACCTCGTCAGTGGTGAGGCTGAACCCTCCGATGTCAACGCCGTTGACTTTATCGTGGCCTCCGCTCGCGAAAAGGTCGCTAAACTCGAAAAGCGCATCGAAGATCTCAGCATCGCCGATGACGTCGATGACGCCGCCCTGGAGGCCGCGTACGAGGAACTCGAGGAGATGGATCCAAACACCTTTGAGACCAAGGCTGGCAGTATCCTCCATGGTCTTGGCTTCAGCCAGGCTATGATGGCCCGTCCTACAAAAGATATGAGTGGTGGTTGGCGTATGCGTGTTGCCCTTGCGCGTGCACTCTTTGTTAAGCCACATCTACTTCTCCTTGATGAACCCACGAACCATTTGGATCTTGGTGCCGTCGTTTGGCTCGAAGCGTATTTATCAACATACAACCACATTCTCGTTATCACATCGCATTCGCAAGATTTCATGGATTCGATCTGTACCAACGTCATGGATTTGACCATGAAGAAGAAGCTAGTCTACTACACTGGTAACTACACCACCTACGTACGCACTAAGCAGGAGAACGAGGTCAACCAGATGAAGGCATACAACAAGCAGCAAGAAGAAATCGCACACATTAAGAAGTACGTCTGTCTGTCTTTCTCCGCAGTTCACCGTTAACTGAACCCGGTTAGATTCATCGCTTCCGCTGGTACATATGCCAACCTCGTCAGGCAGGCCAAGTCCAAACAGAAAATTATCGATAAGATGGAAGCAGCTGGACTCATCGAAAAAATCGAGGCACCACGGCCGCTGCGCTTCCACTTCGAGGATATTCGCAAACTCCCTCCTCCTATCATTGCCTTCGATGAAGTTGCCTTTTCTTATTCGGGCAAGTCTGAAGATTACTTGTACAAAAAGTTGTCGTTTGGTATAGAGTGCGTCTTTTCGTCCTATTCCAAGTGTTTTTAAGCTCACTACTATTTAGTATGGACTCTCGTGTAGCCATTCTCGGTGCGAACGGTGCGGGAAAGTCCACGCTCCTCAACCTCATCACTGGCGTTCTCCAGCCCTCTCAAGGCACCGTTTCCAAGCATGCCGCACTAAAACTCGCCAAGTACAGCCAACACAGTGCGGATCAGTTGCCGTACGACAAAAGTCCCATCGAGTACTTCCAATCGCTCTTCTTTGAGAAGTACCCCGAAAAGGACGCCATGGCGTGGAGGCAGCAGCTCGGCCGTTTTGGCTTGAGCGGTGCGCACCAAACGAGCGTCATCAAAAATCTGTCGGACGGGTTGAGAAATCGGTACGTGGTCTATCGCGAATGGTGGCGCCTTGACTGACTGTCGTTCAGTGTGGTATTTGCGCAGCTCGCGATGGAACATCCCCATATCCTGCTCCTTGGTTCGTTATTTTTTTCCCCTTGTTGGACAATCCACTGATCAGTTGTGAGACAGATGAGCCGACTAACCACTTGGACATGGCTTCTATCGATGCGCTCGCGCTCGCAATCAAGGACTTCGAAGGTGGCGTGGTGATCGTGTCACACGACTTCCGTTTGATCAGTCAAGTTGCCGAGGAGCTTTGGGAAGTCGCTGATAAGACAATCCGGAATCTAACGAAGGAGGACATCAGCATTGTCGACTACAAGAGGAACCTTGTGAAGCACAGTACGTTTTACTTCCTTCTCATCCGATCGGGTGCTGATTATCATTCAGGTGAGGCCCAATTGGAAAAGGCCAAACTTATCAGCAAGTCTGCCGCTAAGGGCAAGACGTAATGAGTGTCCACAGCCCTGTTTCATGTGTGCATATATACATACCGTACCGCGCCCCTTACATGGGTTGTCTTGTCATTATCCTGCCATTGTAGCCATTTTTTTCATTCGATTGTCACACAACTAGCTGGATCTTGCATCTGTATGTTCGTTACGTCCAAGCCACGTTTTCGATTTTAGATGTTCGATTGTCCCTAAATGAGGATCAGGCCCTTAGGAAGGGACTCCGGGAGCTTACCGCGTAATGCAGTCCAATGTGTGTGCAGCTGCATAACTCATATGGACCGCATCGTTATGATACAGATTCCAGTCTCTAGCATGGCGGAGATGATGTCTGCCTTACAGACAGCCGCTGCATATACGCCTGCAGCACTCCTATATAAAGTAGAGTGAGGCGATCGAGCAAGGGGGGCCCGGAGATCTAGTGCACACTCCGTAATAGTCTGGCTACTGTCTATGCCTTTCCAGACCGACAAACTTCAATGTATAATAAGGCGTAATATAACCACGGTTAGCATGGCACTGTAGGATCAAGAGCAATTAAATGACTAACGTCATTTGCACAGCAGAGAACTACATTCTTCGCGGTGCTTACAGCTATTTTCATATGATAGACCAGAATCTGGAAAACTCATTTAGCCGCTTTTATTTGTTGTTGGAGCGACACCAAACAGAGGCGCGCACGCTAGCTACTTTTATAACTTGCTTGTGGAATACTAGTACAACGACTGACGACCATCATCATGATGCACGGAAACCGGCGACATATACAAGATGCTGTGAAGCAGCAGTGGGTTGTTATGTCCACACATGGCATGACATCGAAGGCCATCGCGCAAGTGACAGGATACAGCCATCGAACAGTCAATCGAGTTCTTCGGCTCTCACAACTCACAGGCTCTGTCGTTCGAAAACCTCTGGAAATTGGTCGTCCTCGTCTACTTACAGCACAGGACGTTGCAGTAAGGGAAGGCACAAAAGTATTTTGAATTTAATACCTAACTGTGACAGTACCTTATTTCATGTGTCGAGCGCACTCCTGACATATTTAGATCTGAACTACAAAGTACTCTACGGGAGGTGAGGGATATTGAGGTGTCTCTTGCCACCATCGAACGAACACTACATAGGCATGGATTGACTCACAAGCATGTATGTAAAATATATTTGCGCAATGGATCAACAATGTCAAATGATCCAAAAACCATTGTTTTCGACGGAGACGAAGAGACGACAATCTTGCTAGAATGCCAGGGTTGCAGAAACTAAGTGGAGCTCATTTGATGATGAGCAAAACTTACCTTTGACAACATTACAGTGGCTTTCACGGCGAGGGCTTCGTTTGCTTGACAAGGTCACCTGCAGTTAGTAATAACCACGGTGCACCATGTGCGGCTGGTCGCAGGTCAGTGCGTGCGGTACGATTCCAGGGTCTCGTCACTGCCCCGCAGTGCCCCACAAGCCCCAAGTTACGTTAAAGATTCATAAAAGTAGCTAGCGTGCGCGCCTCTGTTTGGTGTCGCTCCAACAGGCTAAATGAGTTTTCCAGATTCTGGTCTATCGATATGAAAATAGCTGTAACCGACGACGACGAATCGTTCATTAAAAATAATTCTACTGGAAAGAAAGGTGCTGCATGGATATCAAATAATGCGTGCTCAAGTCTCAAGCTTGTTTGAACACTTACCCCCCTGGAACCACCATTGTTTATCATACTGTTACGTACAGTCATTAATAAGACCAGGGAGAAAATGGCGACGATGGCGCGAGAGAGGCAGGAGACCATGACTCTGGATAGACCAGAAAAAATCAGGCTGTAACTTATCCGTCCAGCATGACAGTACTACTAGGTGCGATGAACTTCTAGTACTTATACTTACTTATATAGTAGTATATGCCATAAGTTGGTTGGATAATCGGAGTTTGAATCACGGAACAGACGCAAATTTTCATTCTTGACTGCGATGTACAGGTGGAGGATATCGATGAGACCTTGAAGTTCGACTTCGATGAACCAACGATCTACTTCTCGATGTTTAACGCTCCGAGCGAAGCCTGCTCGGCTGAGTGAACTCGTTTTACTGTTCTGAGTTGGTTCACCTCCGTCCACTTCTCGTTTCTGCTGCCGGTACGTCTTTGCTTTAAATCTCCGTTGCTCAAATAAAAGTTGATAGGTATATGATTTAAATTCGACCACGTATAAGATTGGAACCTCTGGTCAAGTCGGTCCAATCAGCTTTGGCTACAGTATTAGAGATGAGGCTTGCTTCAAGTCATCCAAAGCAGCTTGCTGCACTACTGAGTATTATGTATGTTGGTGGTTCCCAAACGTCCCGATCTCTCATCATTTCAACTGAGCGGCGTGGTAGGGTGGTAGCCTCAGCACTGCCTGCACTGTGGTCAGCCCTTCCATCTGTGACCTGAGTTCTGGAGACCGAGTTTTCGGGTCTGCCGATGTGCTTGTTGATGAAATTCGCTCAAATCGTTCATGGCTGCTCGCTCTTTCGATTGCGAAGCCTTATGTCAACAGTGGTGGGTGATAATCGTAGTACCGTGGTTTGAAGTTTACACATACAGCAAGGTCCCAGGCATTCCAGATCGAGTCGCAGTACAGACTACATACCTGGATCTACTGATCTGAACGTTGAACGTTAACCGTAATGCACCGGTGAATGGTGAAAATGCGCGCTGTACATTCTCCTACGTGATGTCACACGAGAGCATCGGGTGCGTAAGTTCGGGTATTTTTGCGGTGCACCTACGTCTAATAATATTGGCTGCCCGGCACCTGTCAGGCTCCAGCACACACTAGCCAACACAAAGCTAGCACCAAGCACCGCCTCACACTCACAGTAATTTCCGTGGCATACTACTCATCTTACTCCCACCATTGTCAAAAAAACCGCAGTTTTTCGTTTTTGTTTCGTCTCTGGACCTGAATGCATTCCCCTTGTCTCCATCAGCGCGTGGTAATTTGTTATGCCATGCACCGTTGACTTGGCATCTCATGTTCCGTGAGCGTTGGACGTATGGGCGCATCATATCAGGTTCATCAGCGTCCCCTGTTGATGATGGCGTTGATCGGCGCTGTGTCATTTGATATATAAAGTTCCACTGCGCAGGCCAGGAGCCGCTCCCCTACGCAAAACCTGCAAAACCGACCGCATCCTCCACGCTATGAAACAAACACACCTGTTCTGGCTGCCGTTGTTATTCTCCACAAGTGGAATAACCGCTCTCCAAGCCCCGTACAGTATTCCAGATTTTGTTTCATTGTCGAGTAAACAGTGGCCCTCTACCTCGAAGTGGGCTTCGTTGAACACATCCCTGGGAGGACGGCTCGAGGTTCTGCGACCATGGGCTGCTGTATGCTATCTCTCAGATGCTCTTTACGACTACGAGAAGTGTCAGGCAGTGCTTACGGGATACGACAACGACACAATGGCAAGTCAAACCCCATTTCTAAACACCAGAATCTTGTCGATCCCTTTCAAAACTAGCGTGAAAGTGTGCCGGCAGCTCTGCTGTGGACAAATTGGGAGGCATGCGGTTATGGGAACGGGTGTCCCCTGAACTATAGCGACCCCCAGATTATTCATGATCAGGTGTGCCACCAGGGCACTACGCCTCCTTATAGCGTCGCGATCAATAACGCAAACGACGCGAGTATTGTTGTGAAATGGGCTGTGGAGAACAAAGTGAAGTTGACGGTTAAGAACACGGGTGCGGCATTTTCGGTGTCAATTTAGAGAACAATGGCGGTTGACGATTTGATAGGACATGATTACCTTGGGAGATCAGCAGCCCCATCGACACTCCAGGTAAATACACACACTATGAACGACATATCATACGTCCCCGAGTTTGTGCCGCAAGGATCCTCTGCAGCGCCCGTGCCAGCGTTGACTTTTGGTGCAGGTGCACAACTGTACAACAGTACGCATCTATAGGCTCGCAGGTAACATCGTGCAGGATTTGACGCATTTTGTCAGTATACGCTTATACAGGAGCAATGAATATCTCTGCTGTATTAGGTGCATGCACTACTGTAGGAGCCGGTAACATAGTCCTCACTTTTCTCGTTTGATTGGGTAATCTAAGAACCGTTTATCAGCTGGGGGCTATCTGCAGGGCGGTGGACATGGAGTGTAAGTGGCTTGATTTTGATCCTGGTTCGTGTGATAACATCATCCTAAGGTTAACACCCGCATATGGGCTCGGCGTATGCAATTTTTCTTTATATAACAACCTGAATCACTCAAATGACATTGACACAGGCTGATCATGTTCTCGAAGTTGAGGTGATGAACACGCTTTTTAATGTTAATGTGGTTGTCCCGATCTGACTATGTCCTTCATAGATCGTGACTGCTGATGGAAGCATAAGAACAATCAATGCTGTCCAGGACCCTGAGCTCTTCTGGGCTGTTAGAGGCGGGGGCGCTGGAAGCTGGGGAATCATCAGTGCGTGGCCTGTAACGCTGACCGTAGCCGTAAACTGACATGTTTTACGCAGCATCCGTGACAATTCAAACTTACCCTGAAATTGGCATTGGGGCGTCTCTCCTTGTCATTGAGCCAAATCTTTCCCAAAACTTGACTACTCTTTCCATTGATTTTATTGCGCTCTTGGGCAAGTACCAAAACAAACTGGTTAACTCTGGTATCGTCTCAGTTCTAATTCCGTTCGAGGCACAGTACATCCTCGTAAGCCAAAATCCATTTGCCAAACTCCATTCGTCATCGTCCGCCCTCATATCTTTCGCAGAACTTTTACTTGCCGACCACGACTTCGCACATGTCGACTCTCTACCCATTTTTCTCTGAACTTCTGACACTTTCGTCCAACTACACCGTGGCGTCAAACACGACCTCAGCAACGATGTTTGCGTCCGTCACAACTGCTGAAACGGAGTACATCGGGCCTTTCTTCGACAGTTTCAATTTCTACGGTGCATCAGACCAACTATCATCCCGTCTCGTTCCGCAGGCGAGCCTAACTACATCAGCGTCAATCCAAGAAGTAGCAGAAGCGATCTGGGCAGGAGGCCAGATTCTTAATGAACCTCTCCAATCCGGACCGCCGGGTACCTTCGGTGCCGCCCCGCCGTTCTTGTTAGGGAATATGCCAGCTGCCACGCGCCAGAAGGTGAACGAAACGGGTGCGAACCCTGGGTTGTATGAAGCCGCGTGGCATGTGGTCTTTGGGGCGTACGTTTTGATCATGCTTCTATTCCCCTCACAGACAAGCTAGATTAATGGGATTTACAGGTCATGGACAGTTGGTGCCAATGAGACGACCAGCAATATGATCATGGAAGCTGTCCATAGTGCGACTAACCCCCTTACCGCACTCGGCATTACAAGCAGTTATCAGAACGAAGGCGACGCCTTCGAGATGAACTGGCAGCAAGGTTGGTTCTTCTCGTTGATGTCTATCTTACGCCTTTGTGAACACAAATGTGCAGTGTTCTTTGGGTACAAATATGCGAACCTGTCTTCCATAAAACAACAGTACGATCCTGGAAATTGTGAGTCTGCTACTTGTAAGACCACGCAGACGACTTACTAACTCATTTAGTCTTCACTACTTATAAGGTGTGTAGCAAATTTCGACGTTTATTCTCGGTGGTGACCAATGGTGATTTAGGGTGTGGCCTCGGCAACCAATCTTCAGGCATATCAATGTTATGATGAAGACTTGCCCGCCGATTCATAAGTCACAAGGACTATTATGTGGAGGAACTCGCTGCCTGGTACCACAGTAACGCAACAAACTTGAATCCATTTCTCGTTGCAAGTCAAACCATTACCTAGACCGGTGCTACATTACATGGATTCGAAAGAGTGTGATGGACCAACGAGGTCAAATACCTACTGGTGATAATGGTGATAATGCTATAGCTAAAAACCAAACCAAACGTCCCCAAGGCTTATACCTCGAGATGGAAATTGATGGTACAGGCTAAGATGTGGAGTGCTCTGCCTGCGTTAGCCGCTCTTTCCTCTTAGGTATGATGTCGACGGCTGGCTCGGTTGACTCCAAGCCTTCCATAGCGGCAGGTTGCGGAGATGCGATTGGATCCGTATCCACATTGGCCGGTGGCGATGGCGTGCGCTGAAGTCCCAATTTCTTTGACCGAGCGGAGGGATTAAGGAAGCCACACTTCGGGCATACGTACTCTGGTAAATGCATCAGTATGCTCTGAGGCGGAGAGGTTTTAAACGAGCTCACGGGTGTCTTCCCAGACGCTCTCTTTCACCAGCCCATTATGCGAAAAGCACTTCTGGCAAATCAGTGCGTAGCGCGATGCAGCCACGCTCACTGAGGATTCCTCGTCGCCCAAAATGGCGTCGGCGAGTTTGTCATACCATTGCTTACGGATCGGCTGGATGGGCTGTGGCGTTGCTGCAAGATGTGTCAGAAGTGACAAATTATCCGTAAACACGTAAACGCGTACGCGAAAGCTGTAACGGTAGATTCCTTTGCTGGGCGACAGGTGTTTGCAAGTGTGCCTGAGGGGTCATGGGCAGTGGTGTGAGGGACTGTGAAGGAGGCTGCGGACGGCGTATCGGGGTGCCAGGATCAGCGTATTTCTCGAGCAAGCTACGTGTCGAGTCATAGTTAGTCTTTTTCTTGATCTCTTCAACTTTGGCGCGCTGCTTCTGAGTGACGAGCCTGAGGGTTTTCTCTGCCGCACTCTCATTGAGAGGTGAAAGACTTCAAGGCTGAGAAACTCACCTTCGCGTCCACCTTTCCAGGAATACCATATCTGCATCATTCTCCGTGCAAACAATATTCTTGGGTGATACATGAATGCCATGGGAATTGAAATGTGTGGTGGCACGTACATTACAGGTCCCACCAAGACTGCCACTTTCGCTAGCAGCGAGTCATGCCACGTCGCAGGAAGCATACGCGCATACCACAAGTATACAAATGAAACCCATAGGGAGAGGGTTCCAAGCGTGAAGTGAAGGGTTGTCCGCCGCTCACGGAGTCGGATCTCTGCTAGACGTGTCTGCCGTCGTGCAACATCAGCTGCAAGTGCGGAGAGAACTTCCTCGTAGTTCTCTGATCCACTCTAGTGGAATATTTAGCGCACAATCAGAGATAAAAGGCCAATGTCTTTACCTTTGAGAACCAGCGGGTTACGAGGGACATGACAGATTGGAAGAGCAAGTGCACAACACGTCAGTTGAACAAATTGGGCTCATTATGAAACACGCTCAGCACAGCCACATCATTCAGCGTTCGGATTCTGACCAGGCTGGTTCGGGAATCGCCGACTTAACGTTCAAACAACTGATCATTTACTTCCACCGACCTCGCACTATATTGACTACTCTGTTCGAAGTAGCAACCTTATACGATGCCCGAGAGACGAAGGACAGAGCCGTACAGTCTAATGAGGCGAGGACCTGGCGCCCAAAGCTTAATTCTCAAGCCATGGAGCTTGAAGCTTGGTGTGTCTTCACGAGTTGATAGATGGTCATGATGGTTTGATCGGAGTACTGGTCCTATCCCGGGCTGAAGCCCTACTTTGCGTGGTATATATTTGCGCGTCCGAGAATAGACTGAACGTTCTTTAGTTATTATCTCAATGGCTCCCTCCATGTCTTACTCGGCACCTGCAGACTGCGGCTTCTACAACACCTGCGGTCCTGCCACCACACCCGAAATCGAACCCACGTCAGAGCTTTGCACCTGGCACTAAAATTCTCCAACTGCGGTTTCTTCATCATGTTCACGATTCTCCTGTCGATCTGCCTCTGCCCGTTCTACTCGCTCGCATTGTACTATATACTCTACGGTATAGACTATTGTATGTGCGGTATGGTCTGCACTATATGGGCCGTGCTTTGCGTATATGCGCTGCACTCATCGGTAGACCCTTGTATACGCCGCTAGATCTGATGGAGGATGACGGGATGCATGGAAGAGGTAGAACGTTGGCCCCTCTATTATTTTGCGGGACTTGGTTGAGACCTCCCTCACCTACCGCAGAGGAAGCTGCGAATGCGAGTCAGTCCAAATGGTCAAATATCCAGGTGCATTTACGACCAATGGTCTGTTTGTGTAACGTCTGATAATCTTTAATAGCCTGTATCTATGTCTCTCATTCCAACGTGTAGCTCTCAAGTCGCATCTACATTTGCTCCTGAATTTGGCATATCCGAGTCTGCAGTTCCCTCTCTATTGCCCCTTGCTAGTGATACCAACTCTTCTTCTTCGCCTGAGAACTCCCCAGAAGCTGCAAAGGTCGTCGTAATGATCCACATGCCTGCTCCCGTTTTACGGTGTTGGAAGGACAGAGAGGGCCATTCATATGACCCATGCTAGACCAGATAATATGCTACCAGAGTATCAGATAGGCATAGCGCAGGTTCAATGCGTGTGATTACTCAACGTCGATGTGCTCTGTGTTTTCTTACTGCTAGTCACAACATATAGATGCAGTCACCTTTTGATCAACGACACAAGTATTTGACGGGTTTATATATATAGTGCTTATGTCTGAAACGATAAACGTTGGAAACTGTCAGACTTGACATTTTGCAATGATCAACTTGAGCATCACAAACTCATCGTCCTCAACGACTTCCAACAGACATGCACAACGAAACGGGCCAGTCTATTGCACCAAGTATTTCATGTGTGGCATCTCTAGCCCAATTATACAGCCGCAATGTCACGTTTGCAGGGTAAGAAGGAAAAAATCGCGGTCAGCAGTCGCTCTGCTTAAATGTGCTAGCGCTTTTCTCAATGGCTGATGCCGGCCGAGGTTTCTTACCCTCACTCCGGATTCGTCTATCATTAATCTAGTCGAATAGTGCATGGACAGATGCTCGAGCAGGGATACCTCATGTTCCAGACTTTGGACCTGTTCTGTGAGTAAACGAATTTTTTGATTTTATACTGATGACCTTGTCGTGAACAGCGTTCGACAGACTCCAGCGAGGACACCGTATGACTGACCAGAGACCAGCCTTTCTGTATCCTGCTCGAACTCCAGTTTGGTGCGTCGCAACAATCCTAACTTCTGGCTTTCATCACGCTCAAACAGTGCACCGGTTTCAAGAAACATGTCGACTTATACTTGACTGATTTGGCATCACATCTCTGTCCCGCATGCCCCTACACTGCACACAAATCTCACCAACCAACCTTGCCAATCCGCTACGACGATATTTTTTTTCTTTATGAACTCTTCTACCATCTTAGGCTATTAGCATGGTACTTTTCCCAGTTTATACCATGCCTCGAGGAATTCCACAGTACCGCTCCCACTTGGGGCTGCTCCTCCGCTGAGCGAACAACTACAGGTTCACTTCTGTTTAATTATCCATTTTATGCCGGTTACTCAGTGCCTGGGGGGAACTAGTCTTCCCTAGCTAAACCTATCGCATTTCCTGATGGAATCAACTGGAGCAAAACATCGCATGCTAGGGCTGGCCGAGGACACATGCAAGGTATGTTTACCGCTGTTTTCTGTCGGGTGAACTCAAACAAGACTGAAGACGGAGTAGAAGTGCATTTACGAGCAGTGTGCGAACGACCGAGCGAGACCGAGCGGAATGAGGCAGGGCACGGTTCAACCACTCGTACCGACATCGGAAGGTATTGAATAATTGCATGTCCCGTTGATTTGTCGAGTGAACGAGTAATTAGTGACAAAAGCGAACAGTTGCTCTGATCCAACCGCAATTCTTTCAAGCTGACGCGTATCATCACTGCTGTGCCATGAGGCCTTCATAATTCGATGAAGACCAAAATACACCCGTATATTGATATCGTAATGTCATATTGAGTGTTTGAGATATTCCTCTATCCAAGGGCCGCTGTTGCCCAAGCAGCAAGGAAATTTATCGTAACTATATTGACCAAGTCAGCAACGAACTACGTATCGCGCCATCAACCACAGCGCCATTAATGCGAAAGCAGAAACATGACTCACTACTTTGATGTACCGCTCAGGCTACCAGCTCATCGGACTCGTGATTAGGATGGCAAGTATACAAAACCGGCGATCTGTTGGCATTACAAGGCGCGAGGGATCAGTACAGAATCCAGGATGTAAAGCAAACTACTCATACTCACATCAGGAAGGGTACAACGATGATTGCAGCAGTCACTGTCTTTCGTGCACCACTGAAGTGGTTTCTTGCATGCACTAACGGACATAGATGTTGTCAAAGCAGTGATAATGACGAGGAAGGAGAAACGCATTATTTGTGCGAGGTTACGAGATTTGCCAATGGGGATCATTCTGAGGTGGGGGTGTTGGGACAGCTTTCTTTTATGTACATCCTGGAATTCGTGCTGTGAGCAGGATTCGAACTTTCTGCTAATCGGTTGGCAGAATGGTTGCGCCTAGCAGACGGGAATGTGGGCGGGAAAACCTTGAGGGACCAGGCCTTGTGGGTAGAAGAAGCACGACTCGGAGCTGTAGACTCCGAGTAAATTCCGCCGAGTGTGTAAAAACAAACTTGTATGATTGGAGTCGGGTTCCGAGCTCAATATCAGGATAAGTGTTCTTGAAAAATGTGAACCCGACGGCAAGTGAGGAAAGGCAGTATGTATTGGTGAGCAGGACGTTGCAACCATCATTGATGATTTCCTGGGGGTAGACGAAGTCACGTCTATCGTCTGGGATTATCTGCAGAAAACTTGTGCTGAATCGAAGTCGCTCGATCAAACTGCATGGAATTTCAGTAGCAGTTCCTGTTAAACATTCAGAATATAGCCTCAGGCCTCAGTCAGCAAGGATTCGAAGTGACCGACAGGGACTAACTTACTTAGTCTCATCACATCAAGATCGAAGCGTAATTGCTTTTGCTTCCTCCGTCCCACCTGTCGCCTCGTTTAATCCACCCAGTAGCGCGGTCCTTGAACTGAAGGAGAGTATGCGGGGAAAATATTGGCCAATCTGAATGTCTGGTGTGCTCGCAGTGCATCCCCAAGCCCGCGGAAAGACATAGTAATGCCACCCATCCGACGAGAACGAGACTAAGAAGGGAATTCAATAATGAAGAGGTATTAGCAATTTAGAAGGAAGGACCTCCGAATCCTTACCCGTACGGGTGAACGTAAATACCTACATCCCTAACGAGTTGGTAAAATTCCCGAGAGCCACCTAATTTACAGCTCTTTGCATAAAGGATGGCACTGGCGTGAAATTTTGCTCGTGTACGCTCATACTACCCTTATATTATCATCTTCGCAACATGGGATTTCGCAAGATCAGTCGTGATGTGAAACTTGCGGCAATCCGACTCCATGAACGGAACCTTCTAAGCCTTCGTGATATCCTAGATTGCTGTGGATTTTCCAGATGCACTTGGTTTCGGATTTTGAAGCTCTGGCACGAAACCGGTGATGTCGTGGACCGTCAGCCTAACACAGCAATGCGTGGTCGTCTGCGTGCTCTCGATCGTGAAGATATCGATTGCCTGCTTCGCCTTGTAAGGCAGAATCCTGACTATTTTGGATGAGCTCATGCACCTCCTCGCGACAAACCAATTCATATCTGTCCATTTCATGACAATCTTCCGCGAGCTCGAACGTGCTGATGTGAGCTACAAGAAACTCAAGCGCATTGCCAAGGAATGCAACGAGACTCTCCGTGCTGCGTTCATCACACGCATGGCTCAGTATGATCCATCAGAGTTGGGATTTATTGACTGAGACGTCAAAAGATGAGCGGACACCTGGTAGACTGCTATGGACGATCAAGGACAGGCGGTTCTGGAGATCATCACTGCGGATGATGCACATGGGTATTTTATTCATGCAGGGTACTTCTAGCGAGCGAGAGCAATGGAAGGTCCAAAAATGTACAGTATGCATGCAGGCTATTAGCACAATTGTTTGCGTAGAAGTCCGTTTGTGTAGAAGTCCAATCTGGATAAGCCAGGTTTGGGGAGGACACGCGGAATGAACCAGGAGACCTCGTAATCCTCGTAGCTGAGAAGTCGGGGGTTCAGTGCATCCGAGATTTTGACGAGTCTGTGCTTTCATGGTGTCCCAAGGCTCGTCAAGATTGAGTGTGAAGGTTTGGTTCCTCGAGGTACGTTTGCTTGCGGGTTTCTTCATCTCAGCTGCGGAGGTGATGCTCGTGATGAAGGTGACCTCTTTTACACCTGCTAGAGGGTCAGGGTCAGGAAGGTGCTGCGAAAAAGAAGCAATCAAGCCATAGGTCCATGTAGTAGGGATCATTAGTCACAGATTTTAGTTCCACACTTTCGCTTTTTGGACATGGTCGGAGGTGGTGTAAGGATTTTCATGGGCTGGGACTGCTCAAGCTCGTCATCTTCGCCGTCATCATCAGAGTCAGGTTCCTCTTCCTCCGAAAGTTCTTTCATTCGAATATCGTCCTCATCGGACCCATTGGAATCAAGGTCACTGTCATGCTCTAGCAGGCTCTTAGAAATACATCAGTGAAACATTTCGAACTATATAGCACTACGTAGCAAGCAGAAGCGCAGTAGCAAAACCCCGCTACAGTAGTAGTCGAGTGCTACAGTAGCTCGGGTAGCACGTCGTAGCAAATCAAACTAAACCATTTGAAGTTAAAACTACTGAACTCGCATCTCGCTTTCCATATATGAGTTTAATGATCAACTGATCAAATCGGTCAAGCATCGAACGCTTAGATCATACAGATTAGCAGAAGATATGATCAAAGTTCAAATGATAAGATCTACTAGTATAACAACAGCGCGACTATGAAAACAGTATTATGCCATGGGGCCGCCCCAGCCTGTACCAGGCGCCCCACCCCAACTCGAACTCCCGAATGAATACTGATCACTGACGTGCGGAAACGTTGACGGATTGTCGGTGACGAGCTGTTGCTCGTCAGGTTGTACAGCATCACCACTGGAGTTTGCATTCCAGTGCGGCTGGTATGGGGGCTCAGGAGGTGAGTAGTGTGGTGGGTAATATTGGAACGGCGTCATCAGTGGCGACTTCGCAGCAACAGGATCATGCTCATCTTCACGGGGGTACCACGAAGTGCCAGATGACGATGACGATGACGCGACTGGAAGGTGACCATAATCAAAGGTAGACGATGGTAACGAACTCGAGGAGGAGGTGGAGGTGGGTGCAGGGCAAGGGCGCTGGTATAGCTCAGTAGTCGTAGCAGCAACATAACTCATTGTATTTTTCGTTGGCAACATTTCTCCTGTGCGTATCCGTAGCTTTCGTCTGTAAAATGCAGGGTCAGTACATTGTGATGAATGTGCCGCAAACACTTACAGGCATTTGTCGTGATGTGCCTGCATGCGCGGCATGAATTCATACTCGTCAAGCTCGGGCTTAGCAGCATATTCCATCATCGCTTTGCGGATTCCTTCCGCGACCCCCGAGAATTCTTCCATCGAGAATTGAAGCACGTTCTTCGTCTTCGATAGTCGACCTTCCGAAGCCCGGCGGATGACACATATAATCTAATAGTTAGCAATATCAGTCCTGGTCGATGAAATCAGACGGGTTTGCTTACTGCAGCGCCCGTCAGTGAATACATAGGCCATGAAATGTGTAAGATTAATGCTCTCGACTGCGGATCGAGGAATGTGAGTTGCGTCCGAACCAGAAGTCTTCGTGAAGGTCAAGAAAGAAAAGTGCCGAATACACGAGAATCTTCCCCCTCTCATCATCGTAACCGTGAAGGACGTACTCCGAAAGGTTCGTGTCGTCAGTTAACAGCATCGTGTGCTGTTTAATATGGTTGCTTCTTTCGTCATCGTTCATTGCACTATCGTCGGACAGGTATATTTTCAGGCATGATAGGACTCGTTCAGCCTCGTTAACGAGCTTTCCTCTGATAGTTGATAATCCATCGAAAATGAGTTTGTTGATGCTGTCCGTGCACTCGGTGACTACATGAAGAGGTAGGATTAGTGGTTGGTAGCGCTAGTGAAAGAACATACCATGGCCAGACGTGTCAGATGCCTGTGAGATACACTCTGCAGCGATGGAACCAAGGTCGCTAGTCTTCTGCCACCCGCTCTCCAGGAGCATATCGAGAATGATGAGTTTACGAGCATGCTTGATGTTTTTTTGATCCGCCTCGCTGTAGTACTTCATGTCGGTGGGTTTGAGTTCCATCTTGGAGCTCCGTCTAGCACGTTCCGCCAGTGGGCGCTCGTTGCCATCAACACCATAGGTGCTTCCTGACCCCCTTGATGTGCAATGGCTGGTGGTGCGTGACGATGGGATTGAATAAGGGCGTAAACGTTCCTGGGATGGGAGTTGTGAGGACCATTGGCGGGACTGGTGTTCTAGAAGAGTGTCGGTAGCATCTCTGTCTGTCTTAGAATAATAGTTGTGGGTACGGAAATAAGGAATGAGAAATGAGAAGTACTTCTATCATTGCAGCAGCAGATGTGAGGCGCTCTAGTGTACTGCTGCTTTGATGTTGGAATGGAATTGATTGAAACGGGGGAATAGATCCTGTGCGTTTGATAGAATCTGGGACGGCAACCTGCGCCCCAGACACACTGCATCCGCGTCCGCGCCCACGACCTGAACCGCCCTGGCTACGAGGCATAGTAGAGGTTTAGAGAAGAGGGTAACTAGTAGAGCGATTGAATTACTTGAATCATAATATTATACGACAAGTTTTGATTTAACGAGGCCGCAGTGTGCCGCATGAATGATGACCAAACTGTTTCAGCTCGCCGTTTCTAGATTCGAGATAGGAGCAACCCCAGAAATTTTGCTACAGATCATAATTGTACTGCCTGCCAGGTAGTACTACACAAGACTACATATATACGTATATACGTATATGCTCTATAAACGGTCAGATCATACTCAGGGAATTGAATGGTAGACCTGATTCAGTCGTAAATGAAGTGACTCCTGCAGCATCAAATACCACCGTGACATTCCAACAATTCGGAAACCATATCACTGTGTGAAGCATCATAGGAGTCACTGCTGTCATCAGCCTCGTGGTCACCATGGCCGGGGAACAACCTGCCAAATTCAACCTCCTTCTGTACTTGGTTTCCGGGTCTCCCTTTGCTTCCTATCACTGCCACCCCTGCGTCATACAGTTCGTTTCGAAGTGAACCGATTTGCAAATCAGTTTGAGTCATATGGCCCTTGGACTCTTCGAGTTCATCATGCACAATGGCCGTTATCAGTGACAGTTCTTCGGTGCGTAGGCGCTGATACTCCATCTTTGCGGCGAAGGTCCGGCGACTGACACGAGAAAGCTCAAGCATGCGTTCCGTGAAATAGACTGCACTATCAGCAGGGCGATTACAAGTGAACTAAGAATTGTTTGAGCTTTGGACCCCATTCAAGTGAGGGTGACCTACTGATGTGAACAACATCTTGGATCTCTTGGTGGGAAAGTACCCATCATCCTCAAGTTCATCATCTTCAAGTAAGCTGTATTGATGTGGGCGCTTGCGAGGACTGTGTTTGGTAGCTGAAGTGGGGCCACCCTCACTGGGCACAGTGGTCGTGAGGGGAGAAGTATGAGTGGTGTGCGGGCTACTGCTCTGGATGGGGCCACTCTTCAGAATGGGGGAGCCACTCATTAGGATGGAGGAGCTGCTACCTGGGACGTGGGAGCTAACCATTGGGATAGGGCTACTCTCTAAGTCGGAGGAGCTACTCCTCAGTATGGGAGAGCTAGTAGGAGCTTCGGATGTAGGAGGCGGGGATACAATTCTGAGAGCATAGTGAATAACAGTTCACCATAAACAAATGTTATTAATTGAACATACCTAGGCTTGTTTGGGGTCACCAGGGAGGTCCTCCTCAAGCTGGAAGAGTCACTCTTCAATATGGGAGAGCTATTTGGTGCCTCAGACATGGGCGGTGATGAAACACTGGAGCGTATGGTCAGTGAATGGCTGGTCATGGAAAATAACATAACTTCAGATAAATAAACAGACCTCAGGTTATTAGAGGTCCTCGCTGATGCAAATGAGCTACCAGTGCTGCTTGTGCAAGGCATATTAATGATAAGTCAATCGTGTTACAGCTCAAACTTCAAGTTTGTTGATAACTGAATCAACCAAATAGAAAACAGTTTCCCAGGGTTGTTGGCAAGAATTCGTGCTAAGTCCCGCTAATTCTCTTGGACTCAGCTTCGAGGGAGGTAAGCGCTAAGCCATCGTGGTTCTTGACAGCTCCTGATCACACTTACTATGCATAACAGCAATGCCGGGGAGGACAGGAGGACAGTTGACTCTTAGGAGGACAGCTGACTCTTAGGAGGACAGTTGACTCTTAGGAGGTGGGCCTATCTATGCATGACATTGCATGTCAACTTGATGTCGAAAGGACCGTCAAATTAGGGCAACTTGCACGACCCAGGGATCAAGTTACGACAATGCCAGGAGGACAGTTGACTGTTAGGAGGTGGGCCTATCTATGCATGACATTGCATGTCAACTTGATGCCGAAAGGACAGTCAAATTGGGGCAACTTGGACGACCCAGGGATCATGGATAGATTTATAAGGTCTTTCCTCAACTCTAGGGTGAGTCAGTAGAAGAAATCCCATTGATCATTTGAATCATTTGCCAGCATGTCATCCTCGCCTCCTTTTCATGTTCCCCATTTGACTACTAGTAATAATGGGCACACATTTACTTGCCCCAACTGCGCAGATATATTTTCAAGCATTGACAATGTCATCCATCATCTGTCAACTACTGTTACCTGCGGTCAGCGTGTTGTTCAAGGTCTTACCTCGGACTTCGGGGAACCTAGTCATTTCTCACAGGACTATGATCCTGACACCCTAGAACATGAGCAAGACGGTGCGTGTATGTCACTTGATCGATGGAGGCTAAATCTTAGTATGCATCTAGTCTATGGAGAGTATGACGAACTCGATCCTTTGGATGATGCGGAAGAAGTCATAATCCCACATGTCGAAAGTGCTACAGATGACGTATCAGCCTATAACCCGCCCCTTTCGTCTGTCCCACATCCTGAGCAATATCATCCCAGTACCCCTGAGTCAGTGTGCGACACCCCCCTCGCATCTGTTGATCCCTCTGCAGGCCCACGTCCCAGCACATTTAGGGAGTACCATCCCAATGTGCCAATTACCCACCCCGGAGGAGAAAATCATCTTCAGAAGATGGACCGCGATGTACATGCCGCTATCCGTCACACAGAGAACCTTTACTATCCCTTTGCGTCGAAAGCTGAATTTGACCTGGGATACTGGCTTTCAGAGGGGGCGTTGTCGCAAAAAGAAGTTGATGTTTTCCTCCACCTCGAGCATGTAAGTTGCCTATCTACGTTTCATGTCATCAGTATCTTGATAATAGATGCAGACCAAGAATAATCCGCCCTCTTTCAATACATCTAAGGATCTGTGAGCTCGGATCGAAGCACTACCTGAAGTACCTCGATGGTACCACCAACAAATAAAAGTTGGTTCCTATAAGACGAAAGCACCCTTGGTGCTCTATTGGAGGGATGGTCTCGATGTCGTGAAGCACCTATTCGCCAACCCAGTCTTTGCGCCTTGTATGGATTTCCAGCCGTACCGGGAATTCGAGGGCGCAGACAGTCAGCGAGCTTATGGAGAATTTATGAGTGCTGATCTTGCGTGGGAGATACAGGTGGGTGGTATCACCAATGATGGGTACTTAGGCTCACTGTAGTAATCATGGCTTGTCAGGATACGCTTCCTCCAGGTCATTCATTTGTTGGTGTGTGTCATGAATATTACCAACTGCATCTAAATTTCGATTATCAAACCCTAAGTCACCGTATCCGATAAGATTAGATTAGATAGATCCCTGATAAGATAAGATGGATAACCGATTAACGATCACTATCTTGAATTCACATCTATACTATATCGACGTCATCCATCCTTATCCGTAACCCTAGACATACGAACTCATCACATCCTTAGAAGTCCTACAATTAGACAAACGGGTTACATCATAAGCATCTACATGCCTCTATGATCGAACCATAACCGAGAGAACTTTACGAGCTATCTCTCAAAGGGTCATCACCTCTTCACATCGCACACCTTCACTTCTCATGACATGTTAAGAGTTACCTCTGTCATTCACCGAACTCCTTACATAAGAACCTGTTGCACAGTCACAGCAGAACCCTGAACCCCTATCACAGAAGTACCACTCATAGAGAAGCATACTCATTACCGAAGACCCTGGAGAAACCCTTAGATCCGATCATACCCGATACATCTCCAGATCCAGATCCCATCTAGATCCTAGATCTAGATTCCAGATCCTATCTCTTATCGAGATCCTTAATTACCGTTCGAGACTTCTTGTCACAGAACTCTCTCACACCCTTCTTAATCTCCGTCCACCCTGAATAGAAGCAGTCCCTGAGAACCCTGCTTAATCATCGATACCCTTGGCCCTATGAACCCTTTACCCTTCTCTTCTTGTAGTTGATTGGTTGATAAAGACGCCCTATACCCTAGGTGCAATGTTATGACCGTATATAGTTATATCACATACCTTTCATACTCAGATAGCTCCGCCTCAATAGTAGTATATAGTCTAGGTAGTAGTCAGTAGTACTCCTTAGACTTAACCTCCTCGTTTCTACATCATTGTAGGGCCTAGACGTTCCCTCTCAATCCATCTCGCTTTATCCTCTTTGACTGAGTCCTGTGGTGTGATTCCAACTCCAGACACCTACTAGTTAGGTTAAGGGACGTGGGTCATAACATTAGGTTAAGTCTTCTTTACCACCCGACTCGATTGTGTTCGCCCTCTTGTACTCCAACTTTCGGACGACTATCAGACGACGCTCCATATCATCCTTCGCACGATTCTATTTGTCCTTCGACACTCGTATACTCCATCCTCGCAAGAGACGACGATCCGACTCTCGAACGACACTTGTGTCGATACCTTCCTCCCAGAACATCGGCTGTTCTGCTGAGCTTAGTCTCGCGGATCACGTTTAAACCATCTTTCCCAGACCGCAGCCCCGCACTTCTTTTGTGCACATTCCCTCCCCTAGTTAGTAGAAGTAGACCAGGCCCTGCCTTACTGCAGCCGCCAGTCTATAAGGAACAGTGACATATAGGTCCTGTATCCGTCGCCTTGAGTGCTGGCCCAATACCTGCCTGCTCAACGCTATATCCTAGAAACCCCTTCGTAGAATTAGAGAACGGCACTCGCGAGTGTAGTAACAATATTGCGTTGGTTCTCACGCATATTGTTTACCGCATTCTAGTATAAATTACCGTAGCCTTTTACCTTAGAACCTAGTTGGCCAAGAAGCCGGCAACTACGTTACTATACGGGCTTAGGTCGCCTCTCTATCATCATTTTCCTTTTTCGGTCATATCTTACGAGATCCCTGACAAATAAAAATATACTCTGTTGAATAGGATTCCGGAACGCAGCCGGCAACATGAGATATTCCGCCCCTACCGTTGATGACTATGAAGAGCTAGCTTCTCAAATCCGAGAAGGCTTTTGCTTTAATATGCATCATGCAAAGGGACCACAAATCACACACTGGATTGGTGTAGAATTTGAAGATGGAGAAATCTCCTATCAGAGCCTTTGCAAGAATTGCGCTAAGGCAAACAAAAGGACTGTAGACACGTTCCGAATTAGGTGTAGAGGCGCAATGGCTGAATTGCCATCCCTCGCTATCCGAACCGCATACGTTGACACACTCCCATCATCACCCTGCTCGACCCCCTCATCATCGCCCACATCATCTTCTTCATCATCGCCGTTATTGTCATCGAGAGAAATGACAACCCAGTGGCCCAAGATTGCCAACGTACAAAATCCCGAGCCCAAGGTTGCTCCGAAACCCGTAGTAGTCGCGCAGTCCATAGGACAGAAGATACGCGACGAGCCGAAAGGCAAAGGGAAAGAAACCCTTACAGAAAATATCAGGATGTCGTCAGGTTCCTCTAAACCTAAGAAGTTGACTGGTACTCAGAAACCAGAGAAAGTAGCACCAATTGAAATCAAGAAAGAAACCTTCGCGGAAGAAATCTTGAGATTAAAAAGAGACTACGGAATCAAGGACAAGACCACTGAAGCGACTAAAGTAGAAGTCGTGGAAGTGGAGGTCGTTGAAATAAAAGCAGTAGTCCCTGCTAAACAAAAAGACGAGAAATCGGAGACAACTGATGAAACAAACAAAGGACCAGTCGATTCTGGATTATCAAAATCACAAATCAAGAGACAGAAACAAAAGGAAGCTAGATTAGCGAGAGCTTCTTTAGTGAAAGTCTCAGAGCAGAAACCCACTGCCGAAACAAATAAGGTAAAGGAGCAGATCCTCCCTGCTTTACCAAATGAGAAGACGGAGCATGAAACCGTAGAGGAGGTTGCAAAACCTATCGAAGAGTCGTTGTCCGACCTAGATAAAATAATCGCAGAAAACATGCTAAAACGCGCAATGGAAACATTAGAGGCGCTAAGAGTTGCTGAACGCCGAAAGGCCGAGGAAGCAGCAGAGATACTCCGACAGATCAAGGAGGTCTCAGAGGTTGTTATGCCACCAACAATAGAAAAGGCAATGGATGTAGTCCGTAGGACAGAAGAAACATCCAAGGTTGAAATACCTATTGAAATAGAAGGTGCAGTCCGTAGGACAGAAGAGGCACCAGAGATACCGGTTGAAAGTCCGAGGACCCCAAACATCTTATACCGTTCCCCACGACGAAAGTCCGAGCCATACCCAGAAGGCGAAGACGAAGTCCCAGAGAGCTATAAAAGAACTGAAGATAGAGATCGTCAAGAAGACCAGGAATGGAATCACCTGGCAGTAATAATCCATCCCACAAAGAGCAAGAATGCTTGTGGCGCAATAGAGGAAGACTGCAGAGAATTCCTAGTCAACGATGTAGACCATTACATCTTATTCAACGACAAAGATTAATCATACCGCCTTAAGCAAAAAAGGAAGTTCGAGGTAGATTCATGGTTCACCACGGCTTATGGCCGCCTAATCGCTCAAATGGACGAGTGGAACGATGCCCCATGTACTTGGGATGAAATAGAGGTAGAGATGCCTTTCCAAAGAACTATCTACGAGAAGAAGGAGGAGCTAGCCGAAGTAAAGGCTGGTAAATCAAGGGAAGAACCAATGGAGGAAATAACGACCGCTGGTGTTGAGGAGTATGTGATCAGAATCACTCCCTCACCATGTCCGATCCCCAGAGTGTTTCTACCGAGACATAGGTCCTCTGAAAAAACTCAGAAGTCGTCAAACGAGGCGCAAAAACCGGTTAAGCCACCGGTAGAGAAAAAGGCAAATCCTACTCCTAGGGCTTTTAAGCCGAGAACAGAAAAGAAGGAGAAGACCCCAGCCACAGTCTTCAAATTCAAATCCAGAACCCTATGTAGAAACGGCCCGAAGTGCCGATACGGTTCTTTTTGTGCATTTGCACACCCCGAAAGGAGTAGTCCCTCCTTTAAATCAAAAGACAAGATCGGTGTAAGCCCACCGAAACCAAAGGCAGTTCCATCTGTGAAACCAAAGATAGTAGAAAAGAACGTAGACCGTAGGTCAGAAGAAACGTTCTCTATCAAGGGAGCAGCAGAACGAGAACGCAGAAGGAAAACTGCTAAAGAAACCAAAGTAAACTCAAAGAAAGAGATTGAGGAAATAGCGCTAGAAGGTCTAGAAGCGTTATTGAAAAAGCTCATCGCAGAGAAGGCGAAGCAACCCTCAAAGGAATCTATGAGTAAGGGTAGTCCTCCCCCTAAACAAAGGAGTGAAACACCGAAACCGAGTATCGAGAGAAAGCTATATGCTATAGAATGTAAGACCCAAGCGAAGGGCATTCAAGCTACGCTTATCGAGAGAAAGGAAGACGGGAAAAGGCAGTCGATTGCCATGTTTACGAAACCAATGACCAACAACGAAGTCAACTACTCAGCAGAAGACAAGGATTTGCTCTCGATATATAGAGCCCTGCAGGAGTGGAAGCACATAGTTGAAAAGTCACCCCTACCAGTGGAAGTCATTCTAGACTCACGAAACCTGGAAAAAATAGACAAATTGCACACATTGACTAGACGTCAAGCTAGATGGTGTTTATTCCTAGCGCAATTTAATCTCATATGTCTATCCAGGAGGCTAGACCACAAAGGGGGGGTAAAATCCCATATCGTATCAGAAAACTCGAACAATTTCCTTATGAATCCCACTTTCTTCAAGGATCACGCAGCGAAACGAGGCCATACTCTAGTCCATAAGATAGAAAAAACGTTCTTGCTAGTCATCGCAGAGTGTAAAGACAGAGACGCCGAAGTAGCTAAGGTGACCAAAGAAAGGAAACTCGAGAACGTCCGACTAAGAAAGGGACTTGAAGAGTGGAATTCAGAAGAAAATCTCATCCTCCACAGAGGACTGGTATATGTACCAAAAAGAACGGATTTACGCAACAGTCTATTGGATTTATACAAAGGTTCCGCCCTTGGTCCTCTAAAGAGCTTGTTGGAAAGAGTATCGCAGAACTATTGGTGGCCAGGCATGGCGCATGAAATCAATGCCTATGAAAAGAAAGACAAGGTTGACGAACCGCTTAGCGCTGTATTCGCACCTAAAATCAAAGTCCTCTCAGAAGCGGGTTAGATTCCAGGATCAAAAGACGCAACCAAGAAACTCTGGCAAGCCTGCAGACGCCGTCTTCACCATGACAACGTCTTTACTCCTCGAATAATCCCCAACGCTGCACCAATACCTCCGCACCATCCGTTCCCAAGGTGATCTTAAGTAGAGAAAGAAAGAAAACCAGAACGCAGTCACAATCCCCAAGTAGAAGTCCAAGGATCAGAAGCTATCGCCGAAAAAGAGAGACATCATGGAATGAAAAGAGAAACAGCGTTGAGAGAGAAAAGTTATACGAAGGTTTCCTTAAATGGAAAAAAAGAAATCACGCTCAATCTAGACAACCATATCGATTCGCGAGGACGCTCATCCTTAAAATGGGGGTAATGTCATGAATGTTACCAACTGCATCTAAATTTCGATTATCGAACCCTAAGTCACCTATCCGATAAGATTAGATTAGATAGATCCCTGATAATAAGATGGATAACCGATTAACGATCACTATCTTTACATCACATCTATACTATATCGACGTCATCCATCCTTATCCGTAACCCTAGACATACGAACTCATCACATCCTTAGAAGTCCTACGATTAGGCAAACGGGTTACATCATAAGCATCTACATGCCTCTATGATCGAACCATAACCGAGAGTACTTTACGAGCTATCTCTCAAAGGGTCATCACCTCTTCACATCGCACACCTTCACTTCTCATGACATGTTAAGAGTTACCTCTGTCATTCCCGAACCCTTACATAGAACCTGTTGCACAGTCACAGCAGAACCCTGAACCCCTATCACAGAAGTATACCACTCATAGAGAAGCATACTCATTACCGAAGACCCTGGAGAACCCTTAGATCCGATATCATACCGATACATCTCCAGATCCAGATCCCATCTAGATCCTAGATCTAGATT